AACGCCATGATATTTCTATGTTGATTACTTAATGTGCCGTTGCATTGCGCCTCATATCCTTCAAGCAACACATTCAAATAGAAAATATTCCCCTGCCTCTCTCTTTTCAAAAACTGCCAAATTCTTTTTAGCAAAGAAACCGGTGAAAATTCGTTATTAAAAATCCGATATTTTTTTTAAAAAAATGCTGTGATTGTAAAATTACTTTTCCACCAAAGCGGGGAGCACAAACCAAACTGCTAATTGGAATTTAAGATAAATAACTTTTGGATTTATTGTATTATACATGGAATAACTTCATATATGTTTTCATAAAAAATTAACGGCACTTCAATTATATTATTGGTTTTTAGCGACATCACTAGTAAACTGTCCCCTCGTTAGTTGTAGAATGCAGAACATACGCTGGACTACGATAATCTGCACTTTTACCTTCACAGCAATAGCAGCAGCAAGTTATTAAATACTTTGTAATTTGAAATTATGAGAATTAAAAATTGCAATTATTCCACCAAGCGGATGAATTAGGTTGCCATTTCGAGCAAAGGGATTGTTTTGTTCTTTCGTTAAAAAAACTGTAGCATTTAGCGGAACCAGCTCGGCTCACAGATGAAAAGATCTCACACCACGCACATTACTTCTCGTGAACGTTTAGCAACGCTTCCAGAACGGATCTGGTTCAAACTCGCTTCTCAAACAGACTCAAAGGGCAATCACTGGATCACTTTAATCAGCTAAACTCGACTTTTTTGTTGAAGGTTATCTTGTAGCAGGACCTTAAAGCAAAAAAAGTTCAAAAGCAGATAAAAACCGGCGTTTTTGTGGAAACTAAAAAACTGCACTGAATTATTAGCTCATCCGCTCCTGATGGCAACGACGTTTTTCTGGATGGAACATAATTACGTATAAACGCTTCTCTAGGTAAAACTGTTGTATAAGTTCAAATGTTTCGTACTTAAAAAAAGTGCCATGGAATATGATAAATTTTGACTTGATTTCAAATGACAGAGTTCCTGCTGAACACGTCTTAATTATTTCGAAAAATTTTTGAAGTTTTGATAGCTAATAAAATTGCCTATTGAATGATTATAACCGGTTTACGGTACGACAAGCGGCTTTCCGTGAAACAAACGAAAAGAGGAGACCGACATTTTGTTCAGCCAACCAGTAACGACATTTCTGAAAGACTGAAATAGTGTCGATTGATTTTTAAGAACTTTGACAAGCACTGCAGAATGCTATGCTGTACTTATACCTAGGTACATCCAAGCGAGAAATGAGGACATTAAAATTTTTGTTTCCAGAAGTACTATACCAATTTTTTCAAAACAAAAAAGGTCAAGCTACTGTATAATATTACTTTAATTTTAATCTTCTTTTGCTATAACATTTGCTCTTTCGAACTAACAGATCACATGATCACTGTAAGTACATACGATGTATGATCACATAGCCACTGCACTACAGCATCACCTATAAATTAAAGTGCCGGCACAATCGACGAAACAGAAATTAAACAGTTTTTAAGAATGATCTGGTCGGCTCTCGTGCAACCATAACGATATTGACGAAAATGCAAGACGCGGCGTGAACTCGTTATTCCCTTTTTTTGCACATTAAGCAGGCCGCACGGTGTATGCGGCGCCCTAGCTGCTTACCAGCAGGACCTATCCAGAAACTCCACAAAGTAAACACGGTATAAGTTCACTGCACAAAATTAAAATAGAACAAGCAAAGCTTAAAGAAAAACTATGGATGTTTTTCATTTATTTAACCCAGATTTTATACTTTACGAATGGCGTACGGCATCAACCCAGTCAAAGACGTACAAAGCTATTGTACGAAAATCAACAGGTCACAGAAAAATCAAACAGCAACTGAATCTAACATGTTTTGGGTTTAAAAGCAAAGCAGTGTGCCGCTGCTAAAGGACGATGGCAGAATTATCTAGCTTGGAAGCGGTTGAACCGTTGAAGTTATCGCAGTTTGCTAATATAATTTATTTTTAAAACTCTTTACTCCACTGGTGACAGCATCGTCTCCGGTGTTTTGGAAGTGACTTAACCTCAAAAGTTACGACGTTTCTGAAGGTAAATTAGATTAAAAATTTAAAACAGCAGTATGATACCATGGTCTTCGTTTTTTGGGGATTTTGTACCCACAATAGCTGAGCGTGAGGTAAGTACTGTATTATGCGATTTAAGTAAACCGTTGTTGATGCAAAAGGGAGCAATAATTTCGATCGGGATCAGTAATGTAAACAGATTGTGTATCTGTACAAATCTTTGCTACGCTCCGGATCGATGACGACAGGCCACGCTGAATAAACATACGGGCGAGTTTTTCTTTGCTAAGTAATCCAACAACTAGCACCGCAAATGAGATCCGGTAAACATGCTCAACTTCCCCGCGCAACTGTCAGTTCAGCTGGAATTTTCACGAAACTCGATCAGCATGCCTAGGGATCAGCGGCCTTGGAGTTTTTGCCGGATAGCGGTAAATCGGCTTATCACTATATCAAGTGGGCGGACAACGGCAGCGGGTACCCTCAGTGTTTGAAATGTTGCAAGCGTTTTCTGATTTCAAACAGTTCAAGAAACATTTCGTTCGCTGTGACTTTTGACTCAAGTGATATGACGATTAGGATTTTTTATAATGATTCTACTGGTAGTAACTCGGCTGCCGCAGCGAAGACAGATCGTTACTATGAATTGTATGTAGGAGCAGTCTGTCTTCTCTGCGGCGGCTGAGTTCCAGAGTGTGTAGACTGAGTATTATCATTGTTTGTGTCGTAAGACCCACCGCACTGGGCGTGAAAATATTTGGTGACATCCACCTGACGTCAGTCCAGTTGACACCCAGCTATGCCATCAATATATTTATGGTGACGTTTGGATTTAATATATATGTTCTACGTTCATACGGCCTACGGCTGCACCATACCAAAGACACTGTGACTATGCAAAGTAGCAATATAACTTTGATGGTATGATACCATAAAAGACATATTGCTAAGTACTTTTCCCAGTACTCGTCAATCGTGCATTAGCGTACACACCCGTTGCATGTAAATTGATGTAATACACGCAGCGGTTCTGTACGTAATGCCACGACTGCGTGTACTGTAATCGTTTGGTCTTTCTTCTATACCCTGAGGCCTAACGCTAGCAGTGGACGGTAAAACGATGAGCAGTTGGCAGCATAATCGTGGATCTGGCTGGCAGTGCAGTGTATTAACTTTAATGGTGCATGTAAAGTTCATGGAGAAAACTATAAAGGTCATAAATTGAATTTATGGCCTTTAACGGTGTTTTCTATGAAATTTATCTTTTGTACCAACCAACACTACCTCGTGTACGTGGACACCGAGCGCTATCATGAAATTTTTATCGGCACGCTCTATGTACTGGTTTTTTCAGATTTTTGGGTACTCCTTCTTTAACAAAAGGCACCCAAATAAGCCAGCATAAGTTCCGCCACGTTTGATCCACAAAGGAGCGCAGCCGCTGATTAGCATCATAAAGAAAGTTAACTACAATTTGCAACATCAATTTATACTGGCTATAAAGGTCAAGGAAGTTTTGAGTCCATTATGCATTCAGAAGACTATCACGATCAAAATCCTTCCATACCCTATACTCAAACATTGTTATGACTTATGCATTCCAAAAAAAGGGAATGGGAATTCCAATTAATCAAAGATCCCGAGCTACTGGTACTCAACAATGGGTTTATCAGAAAAAAGTAAATTATTTGTTACCATTGTTAAAAGGCTTAATCGATCTGCTAAGACGATTACGACGTGCAAAGGGAATGTTGGATTTCTTTAGGCAGTTGATAGCCCCGTTTTATGTTTCATTGTGGCTCGCGTGGCGTGGCTTAAGCGTTTCGTCATTGGTGTTTTACAAAATAAATAAATAACTTTAAAACGGTTGAACAGATTTTTGAAATTTTTAAGTAGTTTGTAAAGAGCAAACTGTGCTTACCAAGCATGCTAAAATAAAATTCCGGAAGAAAATCGGTTCTGGGGCAAAATAACAGAAGCATGGCCACTCACCGTAAAACGGCTGTCAGCAAACTGGTGAACCTCGTTCGCACGAATTCTTTCAACAAAAGTCTACCGATCGAAATATCTCTACAACGGGGCAATGTGTGCGTGCATTACTGCAATCCAACCAAAATGTTTTGCTAGTAATCTCAGCCTAAATTGTATATACACTGGTCAAATCCGCATAATAATCGACAAATTTGTTTTTAATAAATAATTAAAAATTTTATTTCGATTAATAATTTTGGTAAATAATTTTTTATATCTGTACGACAATAATTGTCGGACATTTCAGCCTGATAATTCAGAATGATTTCAATTTTCAGCATAAGGAAGAGGTGAGCATAGGGAATGCCGAATGCGCATCGAGGGCAAAAGTAATTAAAAACCGGCAGAAACCGAAAAGAAAAACCGCAATTGCTGGATGCACACACGCAATTATTACGCTAATTAAACTCGTGCTTTATTTTTTATTTAATATTTTTATTCTTTTTATTTACAATTTCTTTTTGTGGATTACACAATCTGACTTCAGCCAAGCGAATTCTCGTTTTCTCATTCCTGTTTTAATTTTCTCTTAAATTTTGAATTTAATTGTTCCTCTTTTTCGTGCAGCCTGCGGTTAAAGTTTACCCATGCAGGTATTTTGTGTACCACTAAAAACAGAGCGCCAACCGCAAAAATATTAAAAATCGGCCACAAATTCACGGTATTTATTCACCCCTTTGTTTTCACTTACAACATTGACCGAGAATTTAAAATTAAAACCCACTTAAGAATTCCTAAAAACCCGCTGAAAAATCAGAGAGATTCTGCGCATTCCGGAAGCGCGAAAACACACCAAACTAGGTTTTCAAATAGTTTTCATCGGTAAAATGATTCCCAACCTTTGGGAATTGGAAAGTATTGGCACAATAATTCGCAGCCGGTAAAATCGAAGTTTGGCGGGAAAAATGCCGCAAAAATCGCGGAACAGTAGGCAACTGCACAAAAAATTTCTAATTGCTGGAAAAAACGTTGCGCAAATTTGTGATAGGCCGGTTGTTAATAATCAGACCGCAAATACTACTGTGCGGACAAATCAAATATTTTATTAGCAATTTAATTTGTTTCTGCAAAGTTGTCGCAATTTTGAACAATTTCACCAATAAAAAAAACAGCAAATTCACGAGAAAATGACGATCAATACGTCCGGAGCATTGCATCTGCATTTCGCATCGCCAATCCACCCCAATAAATCACGACAGACACGCAATAAAACAACCAACGGCCAGCCAATTTCCACGTAATTCGTACAAACAAAAGTTAAATCCTTTTATTAATTTGAATTAATTCCAAAATAATAAATCCAGATTTTCGATTATTCATCCCCGGAATTATCTGCAGCGCGGCGCTAGGTGACCCTCCCAGCGGACGGCGATCAGATTTCCACTTACTTCGCCAGCCAACAATTCCTACAGTTCATTATCCAATATTCCTAATAAAATCCCGCATTTTTCCCGAATTCTCCAAATTATCCCGAATATTTTCCCGGGAAATTTATTCCCAGCGCGTCCGGCGTTTTTTGGCGTCGGGTTCAGAGGCAGCGGGTGGCCGCCGGTCGGGTGGCAACTGCCCCGTCTCCGGGGAGGACGCAGCAGCAAACTGCTGTTTGAATTTATTCTGGAAGACCGCTTTCATCGCCGCGAACCGGTTCGTGCCCGGCGCGCTGCTCGACGCGGCGCCCACCTCATCACGCGCCGATTTGATCATGTCGCTGACGCTCTCCTCGTGCGTCGACGCTTTGCTCTCTTTGAAACCGATGCCGCGGCCGCCCACCGGTTTTTTCCCTGCGATACCAACACGGTTACATATTGTGATTGGTGAAACGGCAATGTTATATAATTACAATTTAAAAACGAGAGAAATTCCTTCGTACGAATGGAATTATTTCAATGCAAAAATCGACGCTTCGGCACAGCAGCTATTTTTCCCCAATTATATCGGTAATTATATCTGCCAGACATTTTCTTAAATATATCTTTATTTTATTATTTAGCGAGTTAAATTTTATTAGATTTTATTAATTAGTTTTCTAAGATTTTGTTTAATCTTTTATTTATGCATCGATGATTTCATTTATGTTTTTATTGTCCAACATGTTATATATCGAATATCAATGTCATCCATATCTTGTTTAATATTCCTTGTATCGTACCGTATTTTACAGACGTACTACCATGACTGTAATCTTAATTTTTAACTAATATTTTTTACCAGAATTATGCCTAAAGGTAAGATAGCAATTATTTCTGCTGCACGCATGGACAAAATTTGCATCCAAAACGACCGTCGCTCAGAAAAAGTTGGCCACGTGCAAATAAGCAAGTTAACTCAAAAAATGGTACGGTAGACGTACAATAAAAAAATTGCAAATTCAGAAAAAATTTGTGCATTTTTCTACACTACTGACATGCTCAAAATCTATTGCAGATTCTATCATTATTAACAGAAGAATAGGAAACTGAACAGTCAACGCGGAATACTACGGAAATTAATACTGCCATATTGCCATTATACTACGGAATCACTACGAATTTTCCTACAGAATCGTTAACAACGCTGTAACACAGATTACAAAAACCGGGCAGATGATTGCAAAATCAAATCGGGCTGGGATCATTCGAAGCGGTAATTTATTGGTTGCAACCTAAAATCAGTATTCTTTCCATTCTAGTTAGACGAACTGATAAAATAAAAACCTATCGAATAAAATCCAACTGAAAAATAACGCCAGGCGAATACCAGTAATTCAGTATCATTTACATTCTGTTTGTTCTCTTTTTCACGCTAAAAAAGTTCCAAAAAATTAAAAAAAACTATTTAAAATTATAAATAAACACCACGGAAAAAAAACAAATCTTAAAAAAGCTATTTTTTAATTCCAAAGAAATTTCTTTCATTTCAGTTCGAATTTGAAGCATTTCAAAACGGCCCATACTGTATAATCAAAAAAAATTAATAACTGCAATATGCACTTATGTAACTAATAACTGCCAGTATTTATAATGACTGGTATATCGTTGATTTCTTTTCCTGCATTAAATAATTTAAATAGAAACAGTACTCGGAATTTTAAAATTTAAAACTTTTTTTAAATTTTAAAACTTTAAAACTTAAAAAAAAAACGGAACAAATTTTAAAAATGCATTTTTTTTAATTCAAATATTTTCTTTTAGTTTTAAATCCATTTTATTTCAAGCATTTCAAAAACGGCCTCAACCGTTCGAATCACAACGCTAGCGCGTTTACCGTTTAAAGGATGGTGATACCTGCGCAGACTCAAATTAAATTGATTAAATTTTAAAAAAAATTAAAACGTAAGCAGCCTACCTTTGCCACCCTTGAAGCGGGTCTTCTTGAACCAGCTGCACTGCTCGGCCAACTCCAGCAGCTTCTCCGGCACATGCTGATTGGCGCCCTCCAGATTGCGCACCAGATGCGGCGTGAACTCCTTATCCTGCGGAACCACCAGGGTGTACGCGGCGCCCTGCTCCCCGGCACGACCTGTAATCATCCCGCGAACGAACACATGGTTAAACTAATTTTCCTCAACCCAAAGAACGCACTGTGCAATTAAATTATGAAATTTTAGGGTAATTTTCAATGTTTTATTTCCTTTTATTTTTTGCTTAACGGATGCCGACCGAACCCACCCCGTCAGAAGCCTCAGGCCACGTACAAAAACCTCAGCCATAAAAACATTTAGTTTTAGAAGGTAAAAGGTAAAAAGGAGATTTTAGACACGTTCCGGTGTGGTAAACGATGCAAATAAACCACTCTTGCTGCCGGTGAAAATTAATACCATACTTCCGCCAAAATTTCAGAAAATATCATGTCACTACACTACGATTATCCATGAAATACTTATTCTCTGATAACAGTTTTTATCACTGGTCGCTGAATTTCATAAAGTTCCGAAACCATTAACGTTTAACGGCTGTTAAATAACAAATATCTTACTCAGAATATTTTACAAATGCGAAAAAATTATTGTACAGATACTTAATCAAATACCATTACAGTGATTACACCAACACATTGCTAACAAGGATTCGTAAATATTTACTCAACAAATCCAATTACAATTACAAATTCAACAAAATATCAGTGAAAAAAATGACGACAAATAACGAACGAATTTTCTGACGCGGTAATTGGTGAAAATGATTCACTAACAAATTCCGCAAGTGGGCGGGAATTATTGAAGAAAATAAAAAAAAGGTATTTGTCACCTGTGCGGCCGATTCTGTGCGTGTGCGTATCAATATCCCGCGCCACGTCGAAGTTGATCACCGTGCGGATACTGGCAATGTCCAGCCCGCGCGCGGCCACATCCGTCGCCACGAGAATGGGCAGTTCCTTCTTCTTGAACTGATGGAGGACCTTGTCGCGCTCCGTCTGATGCAGATCGCCGTGAATCAGTCCGCATTTGTGGTCAGCCCGCTGCAGCCGCGCCGCCACGTCCTCGCTGTTGGCCTTCTTCGTCACGAAGATCAGGACACTGCCGGTGGAGGTGAAGCTGACAATGTTCCGCAACAGCCACGCCCACTTCTCCTCCACGTTGGGCAGGATCTTGATGAACTGCGTCACGTCCTCGTTGGCTTCCCCCAGTTCACCTATCAACGATCAGTACGTGCTATTTTCTCCAGAAACCCAATATATCGCAGGAAAAAGCTTTAATCGCTTAGCTTAGAAAAAGCTTAAAATTTTGCCATCTACAGATAAGCCAAGAATTCACCATGAGCCTTTCCCTTTCGAAATTATTGGAACATGTATTTGATTTAATTATCGAACAGCTTATCTGCGCAGTGATTTTTCTTTCAAATTCCAACAATGTAATTTAAGAACTGTTTGAAATTTTTATTGTTTAATTTTAATTGGAATCATTTTCAATGGTAGATACTAGATGTTTGATTGTGGGCAATAAACAGAAATCTATAGAGAGGTGGCTTAGAGTATGCCGTAGTGGAGCATCGTAGTCAGTGTAACGTAAACTTTGGGAATTTGCGCAAAATTAATTTTGTCACCGCATAAATTTCGAAACTTCAGTCGTTATTAATTTATGTTCATGCTAAATTTTTTATTTGTTCAAAAAGCCAATAAATAAAAAAAATAATATCTTTAAAAAATGAAAAGTGCCAAAAAAGACGAAAGAATAATTTAAAAAAATAATAAAATGCCGCAACGGCGAAGGAATATTTTACAAAAATAAAAATACCGAAAACAGACCAAAGAATATTTTTAAAAAATTAAAACTTTCGAAAAAGACGAAATAATTTTCGAGCAATACAAAAATCTATAGATAGGTGGCTTAGAGTACAATCTGCCGTAGTGGAGCTTCGTAGTACAGTGTCACGTAAATATCGGGTAATTGCGCAAAATTAATTTGTCACTGCAAAAACTTCGAAATTTCAGCGGTAACTAAGGAGTTAATAATTTATGTTCATGCTATATTTTTCATATGTTCAAAAAGCTAATAAATAACAAAAAATAATATCTTTAAAAAACAAGAAGTGCCAAAAAAGACGAAAGAATAATTTTAAAAAATATTATGCCCCAAAGGCGAAGGAATATTTTACAAAAATGTGTAGTGTGTAATCATCGTTGCTGAACACGAAGGAAACCAATAAATAAATACGAGTATTTTACAAAAATAAAAATACCGAAAACAGACCAAAGCATATTTCTAAAAAATTAAAACTTTCGAAAAAGGCGAAACAATATTTTCAAGCAATACAAAAATGTCTAAACAAGCACAAGAAATGTAGTTTAACACAATATAAACCGGGCAAAAAATTATAAAGTTAGCGGAGCGCATACCTTGCACAATGCGGATGGGATCCAGCAGAGCGTCGCGCGCTAATCTTTCGATATTCTTCTTGAAGGTGGCGCTGAAGAGCAGCGTCTGTCGGTCGGGACGGACGTGGTTGCAGATGCTGCGCACCTGCGGCTCAAAGCCCAGATCCAGCATCCGGTCGGCCTCGTCCAGGACGATAAAGGTCACGCGCTGCAGATTGGTCACTTTGCTCTTGATCATGTCGATCATGCGTCCCGGCGTGGCCACCACGATCTCCGCGCCGTGTTTCAGCGCCTGACTCTGCTCGTGCTTGTTGCTGCCACCTGCGACCGCAACAAACAACCTTCTTAATATTTATTTAAAATTATTCAGTCATCCAGTATGAAATTCTTTACATTTATTTATCCATTCGCTTTTCATGGAAAGATGTAAAAGTATTTTAACCGAGAAATATTTACGCGACGCAACAATACTGGATCATAAAACTGATCGTTCAAATTGGTCAAAACTGTAGGAATGAAAATTCAAATTTGAATTACAAGAAGAAATTCAAAATGAGAAGAAAATAATAAAGGAGAGAAAATTATAACACAACACAAGAAAACAAAATTACAAAAAAAAATTCCCTCAACAGAAAAAAGAAACTCAAAAAGATAAAAAAATTCAAAAACAAAAAATAAAAAAAAATCTAAATTTCTTTTGTCTAAATTCGTTCGACAGAAATAAAGAATTCGTAAATATAAATAAAAGTAACAAAAATATTGAGTTACAAAAAACAAGTGAATTTTTAATCGTTTTAAATTCACCCGATAGCACAGAAGCCGCTGTTCCATCGACTAAACGCAGTTTCAACGGTTTTTTTTATTAACTATACAGAAAAAACAATGCCTGTAAATAACAATAAAAAGCCAACAAACATTCAAAAATAATTTTTAAATATCCAATTATGAAAATGCCGGGTTAATTTAGTTTTGCAATACGTAATGCATAATTTTCGGCAGCGATTACAAACAACACATCATAATAACAGGCACGCCCACACACTACGCGCATCGTCACTTTATCCATGCCACGTCTCCATTACAGAATATCTAAGTTATTTCCACTTGGACGAATATTCTCATTTTTTAATTTAAATATCAGAGGAAATGTGAACACGATCAGCCAGATTTCTACCGAATTTATTCCGATTTCTACCGAAGTTTTCGCACATAAAATAAACAAAAAAATTCGAATAAACTGACCGGCGATGCAGGTGGTGGTGAGATTGTAGACTTTGGTGCCGAATTTGCGGACTTCGTTGTAGATCTGCTGGGCCAGCTCGCGGGTGGGCGCCAAGATTAAACCGATAGGTCCGTCGCCCGGACGGAGGGGCGGCTGGTCCATGACGTGCATCAGCAGGGGCCAGAGATAGGCGGCGGTCTTGCCGCTGCCCGTCTTGGCGATGCCGATCACGTCGCGGCCTTGGAGGACCGCCGGGATGGCCTGCGCCTGGATGGGCGTCGGCTGCGTGAACTCCAGCTTCCGAATGGCTTTCCTGCAATTTATTCATCAAAAATTACTGTAGAATTTTTTAAAATTTAAAATGCAGAATTCATTGCACATAATTTCAATCCACTCGGCATAAACTTAAACGACTAACTTGCGGCAAAGGTTCTGAAAGAAAAGCTCTTTCCAAAAAAATCAATTTAAATATTAAAATAAAAAACCTGGCATAAAAATTACTAAACAGAAAACGAACGTTTTGAAATAGTAAAAACCTAATATGAAAACACACGATTTTGATTTTCATGTTATGGCAAAAACTGTCGCACAATCTTTCTCGTCACTGGGAATTGAAGCTGCCGCAACATTTAAACTAAAAAGCCTTTGTGTAAAAACAAATTATTCTGCTAACAATTCTACGCATTCCTTTTCAACCCGATCAATATATACAAAGCCGTCGGCAATTAAATTGGCATTATGTAATGAGAAGAAACCTGAATGATTTTACAACAATTTTGCCATAATAAGCAGGAAAGTGTAACATCAAAAAATAATTGTCTAGCAAGAGAAATTTCCTTGGCTGTAAAATGTTGGAAAAATGATACGATCAGCCGCAAGGCGACGTACATGAGGGCTTCATCGAAATTGAAATGAGCGAACGAGGCCACCGGTTTGGGCGGGGACGCGCCGGAGACGCGGATGCCCCATTTCTGGCGCAGCTCATTCACCTGCAATAAAACATTATTATTATTATTATATTATTATTATTATATTATATTATTTTTATGGCTTTTGCCCAATAAAGACTTTTTTTAATAAAACATTGTCATCCTGCAATGCACAACCGCTGCGTGGCATCATCCACTACAGTCCAATACTGGCAGAATGTATAGACACTAAGTTGGCACTGATGGTGAGAAAAACCCAACAAAATTACGGGCAAAAATTAAAAAATAGGTTGGTACTGACAAAAATTAAACTAAAAATAAGATATTACTGACAGAGATTTAAAAAAATATATTCAAATAAATATACAGTAAATTCATGAATACTTCTAACTGGTAGAAATGTACGCGGATGCATCAGCTTCAGTGTATTCGAAATATCTGAGTTAGTGATGGTTCACTCATGGTGAAATAATTATCCCACTGCACTACAATCTTTAGTAATCACAACTCACAAGGAAAGATCAACTTGCCCAGTTGTTAACTGTTCTGGTATTCGCACGGGAATTCAATTAAATTAAATTTGCCAATTAATCAAAGATCTACTACGAATAAACAGAGTAAACATATTCCAGGTTTTATTTCAACGCATAAAACCAAGTGAAAATCGTCAAAACTTATTACGCATAAGGAAGATCAGGAAAACCATAAAAAACCATCAAACACAATCAAATAAAAATTGACAAAAAACACTAAAATAATTCTAAAGAATGAAACAAAGCGAAACGACAAATTACCTAATCAACGGTTAATAAGATAAATCGATATAAAGGTGTAAATATAAAAAAATACAAGAAATAACATCAACCATAAAAATGGTATCACGGAAAAAAAATGCCCAACCGCAGCGAAATCCTCGCGAACAACGATTTTTCTCATTATCCTACGAACTGACCTGCGCGCTGTTGAGTTTGACGATATCCTCGTGTTCCTGGTAGAAGTTCTTCTCAAATGGCGCATACTCCATCTGCGCGTGATCGATGGGCGGGAGGGGGTCGATGTGTTTGGACTTTTGCGGCGCGATGGGATTGCCGTCCTCGTCGTACTCCAGCGGGATGTCCTCCTCGCCGGCCGCCAGTCCGGCGTTGGGGTTCTCCCGCATGAACCGGAAGTAGGACTCCTCGTTGTCCTCCTCCTCAATGTCGGCGCGGTAGGCTTTTTTGGCGGCGCCATCCGGGGGCGGGGGGACGGCGGGGGAGGGTTGTGTGGAGGGACGGTGGGGCGCGCTGACGGCGGAGGATTTCTTCGTTTCTTTCTATTGCATTACAGAAAAACTATATTAAATGTGAATGTTTTCATTCATCTTTTTGCCGGATTTTGGAAGAACTTCCGTACAAGATTAGCTGTATAATTCTTGCATATGAGGCAGAATCCGAAGTAGAATTACAGTAACCAACCAATTTGTTAGTACTTCCAATCCCAAAATTTTCTATTCTTCACTTGTCACTGTTGTCAGGTATTTTACTTATTTGGAATATTTTACACGTACTTATTTCGGATATCCATATTTACAGATATTTTTAATATTTTTAGTTGCACACGCATTTTTCAGATAATTAATTTTACAGGTATATCTGATTTTAATTTTAGAATTTTTTTACTGGATTTAATTTTACATGCACAATCCAGTTGTACAATTAAAAATTAATCTTACTGGATTTAATTTTACATATTACATGCAGTTGAGATTTTTAGCTTCAGTTTAGATTTCAAAAATAATTTTAAATGCAACGTATTTTTCAGATCTAATTTTACAGCAACTTTTTTTTTAGTTCTTTATTATACTACGTATATTTTTCATAGTACAGGATCTAATTTTGCAGAAATATTTCATTTTACATCATTTTTTCAGGGATTTGATTTGACAGGCATTTTCTCCGTTTATCCGCTTTATACGAGTACGTTGCATTATTTTGGCCGACTAGAGAATCCATCCAAATCGAAAAATTCAGAAATAAAAAGCTAACAATGTCAAACATTCATTTCAACATTTAAGTAAAGCATCAGATGAAATCGGATTACACCGAACCGTAATTAGCGATGACACACTGTACTACGAGTATACGACAACTCGCATCCTCATAGCAAACAGGCACTGATTAATCTGAATTTAATTCAAATTATAAAACAACTTATACTGTATAAGCACAAATCACAGGGCTTTTCTCTACTCTAAGCTTCTTACTTTTCGAAAAAATTTACCTCTAACCAATATTATGAATCTGGCAATTTGCTCCGTTGATATACCAGCCAATGGTTCGAAAATGTTCCACAAAGTATTCACGGAAAATGTTTAAAAAAATAAAAAAAAACCCCGGAAAATGGCCACAATAATTCCCACAAATTACACCAAGCCACTTACGGCAATATCCGCCATGAAAGCATCAAGGGGATCCTCTTCCTCATCCTCCTCCGGCCGTACCCCACTGGACGACCGACTGCCACTGGCAGGGCGGTCGTGTCTCTCGCGAGCACCTCCCGTTGGTTCCTCAGCGGGATCCTCGTCAAAATACCTACAAACCTCCATCAAACACCCCCCATTCTGCGCCAAAATCATGTTCGTCCCTTACTCATCATCATCCTCATCGCAGACCCGGCGTTTTGTCGACTGGTGGTGGGACGCAGCGGAACGGTAGGCCTCCAGACTGGCGTCCTCGTGCATCGAGGGGAAATTATTGACGACGGTTCCGCCCATGCGGGTGGCGATGGGGAAGGCTGGGGGAGGAGGGGGGTAGGTTAGAAAATTAGAAAAAATCAGGGCATGATGTTCTACCTTGTTCGAGGGATTTTTGGTCGGGGCGCCCCGCGGCAGGGGGCTTAGAGGCGCCGTAGACGTAGTTGCTGCCTGTAGATGCGGAGACGAACGGCGAGCGCACGGGCCGTCCGCGGAATGACATTCTCTCGCTGTGCGTGATGTTAGTCCCGAGAAACGATCATCCAGAATATACTAAAACCGTTGACAAAGGTACTACAAATTTTACAATGTAAATCAACCTTCATTCGGGTTTAACGCGAAGCAAAGAAAATTGAAAAGTCAAGAAATTTTGAACTCTGAAATTATCTGAGTTGACTCAACTGGCATGACAAAACAGCCAGTAATCAATCACAAGGCTAGAGGCTTCCAATTCCAATACTGCGACTCCCATTCCAGTTGTTGGTAATGAAACAGACTTTACACACCGCAACGAGTCGTATCGTCCTTTTCTGGCTTGTTTTTAATTCGTGTTTTCCAAAGTATTACTACGATTATTTCAGCAAATCCAATCAATGGATGACCCGAATAATTAGATTTTCGTTTGGAATTGCCTTTATGCGAATAATTATCTGCGCTGCAGCCTGCATGGATTCATTTTCCTGCAGATAACCAATTCCACCGGAAATTCCAATGCACATCTACGGCAACTTCTGATTTAATTTTTATTCGCAACGGTGCAAAAATCTGGGCCGTAGCAAATTCCCTAATAAATTTAATGATATTTGTGTATTAGTTTGCTACTTAATCTTACAATAAGCAAACCCAGTTTTTATTGAAATGTGCAAGGAGATTAAGTGTTCTGTGTTCCCGGTGAGAAAAAGTACGTAACATTACAGACTCTACCAATTCCACCGGAAATACCAGTGCCAATTTTATACAGAGGCAACACAGCCGTACGTAAATCTTTGTATATCAATTTTGCTCATAATAATTTATTATTATTATTTTGTCTATTAATATTGTTCTTCAATCGCAACAACGCAGTTTTTTTTTAAATGTACGAGGATATTTTATTATTTTATTTCCGCCGCTGAGAAAGCTACTCAATATTAAATATTGAGTAGTTTTTACATACCCTGATGATACCCATACCAATTCCACCGGAAATACCAGTACAATCTTTGGCTCTTTTTGATTAGATTTTATACACAGCATTGCACAGTTCCACTTTGGGTACGTGATTTGGTTCTTTTCTAATTTTTAGCCTGCAGAAATTTATTTTTAATGTTCGGATTGATCCGTGGCGTCAGGCTCGACCGGTCCCTCCGTGGTGTTCGCCTTCGTCTGCCTGAGCGCTTGGAACGAGTCCGTACTGAAGCCGGGTTTGGCCAGACACAGCGTGTTCTTGAACTGATCGTACAGCCGACACATACTGTAGTGCCGCTGCCCGCCAATCACGTTCTCCTCCGGACCGGATGCGGTCGTGGTCACCACGCGCGACACGCCACCTGCGGGCGGTCGCCCACCTGGTCCACGGGGTGGCGCAGTAGACGCACCGCCACGCACGGGCGGGCGCACAGGCGGACGAGAAGTCGGTTGCCGCGGCGGCGAAAGCGGCGGCCGCCTTGCGGGGGTGGCAGGCGTGTTAGGCGGCATTTGCTTGAGTGCGGTGGCAGCGTCAGCGTCGGATGTGGGCGGGATGTAGTCGGCGGGCGGCGACTCGAACAACGGGCCGTTGGAATATAAGCGGGAATTGGCAAAATCGACAAACTCTGAAGATCTGTAAACAGTCGACCGGAAATCGTTTGCACTGCGTTTTAAATTAATTAGCCAAAATGTCGAGTATGCCACTCGCCGGTGTAAATTTAACTTGTCAATAGTGGTTGCATAATGCGGCACTTGAAAGCATTGATCGCGCCGAAATAGATCGATAAAATTATTAAAATAAATAGTATAGCTTCTACGAGCAAAATAAAAAATTTTGGTGGTAATTAAGGAATTAGTAAAACAATAAAAATATAAACACTTCGAAAAATAAATCATAAAATAAAACTGCATGAACGTTACGAAATTTATTTTGTAAAATAAAAAAAATGCTAGATAAAAAATTATAAAAAATAAATAAATTATAAAAATGTGGTACATGTGCTTATTTTTTAGTACGAGTATATTTAAAATAACGAAAGAAGCATTTTCGTTTTTGAGGCAATGTTCCTTTTCTTTCCGAACATTTTTTTACCTGGCACATTCAACATTGTAGAAGAAATCACAGACCAATGTGATTTGATTGAATATGGTTTTATTCGGGCATAAATAACTGGTCATGACCCCGTCCAAGTCGCACCTATAATATCAGCGGAAAAAGGTTGCGAACTAGTGCAGGATAATTTTCGCAAACAGAAAGATAAATTTACCGGTGAAACACCTGGCATTCCGTCTCCGTGTCAGCATAGTATCCCGCCTGCTTCTCCTGACCACACTGAAAACTCGTCGCCGGAATATAGCTGTACGTCGGATACGACCGCCCCGGTTGGGCAGTGGCTAGAGCCGCTTGACTCTGCACCGCGTTGAGCGGCGGCTTCAGTAAATCCCAGACGTACGTCACGCACTCGGCCAGCGGAATGACCAGTAGCGCTGCAGCGGTCAACAGACGTACGCGCATGGTCAAAACCGGATATGCGATTTTATCTCGTGTCACACAGATTAAAACCGTTGATAATGCAGCCAATGCAAAACGACTGTCAGCGCGCGTCGGATAACTGTTGACTCAGATGCGCGGTGTATCAGCTGTGTATGTAGAAAAGTCGATACAGCTTTCTCATACATTTTGACGGTTACGTAATCGCGTTGATGTTGTGCTTTTGTTCACGGTCACTACAGTATTGTGCAGCAACCGGCGAATTGGCAGGTGTGCCTGATGTAATCCCTATTGAGTGTTTAGTCTGGGCCGAAAATGCAGTGTACACTGTTTTGAATGTTGTTGTCGGAGATGAAAAGCATGTGGATCGATTCAGCGTTCAGTGTATCGAAACATGTTGGTCTGTATAAAAGCCGGATTATAACGCGACGTTTTACACAGAAGAGAGTATCCAGCGGCTTGGGAAATTTTATCACAGAATGCAGCGGGAAGCCGGTTTTTCCAGATCGACATATTGACGCTTTGGATAACTGATACACGCTACTTGAACACGTAGCACGTGGACCAGGATAAAAGTTAATCATTATGCAGGCTTAACTTGATTAGTGAATATCGATACAAATTTGTCAAAAGGTCAAATGCAGGTAAAAAACAGCTGTTACATAAGTATCACCGGCGGTGATATCGTTGCAGTTTGTCGGAATGATCATCGGTGTAAATCACGGGGCAGCACTGCAAAAAAGGTCATAACTTTGTACTTTGCAGTTGTGAAGCTCGCGGCTTATCTGTACCTGTATCCAAGTAAAATGTATAATACCGTCCCAGGGATTCATCGCCTGACCCATTCCTAAAAATAATTATAATTATGGAATTCGAACGTTCATACGTATCCTGATTGCCTGTTAAGTGGAGGCGTTGTAACCGTACCGGTCATGACGTAATTTGTATCGCACTTTACCAGCCACACTCCGTCATAATGTTCACCCATTCTGCAAAATAAATAAAATCACTTATTTCACGCATAAAATTATGTAAAGAAATGCTAAAATATGAGCGCGTATAGCGATGGGATATTTCTTTGCAAACAGTATAATTGTCTTGTCTTACTTGTCATGCGTGTACTTCCATTGGCAGTGGTTATAATCCAGTTTATATCCACTCGGCGCTTTGCCTGCCAACCACATCGTTTTACAATACATTTCTATTTTTTTATTAAAATTAATAATTTACTTAGAGAGTATTTTCTCTCGATCACAATTTCCGTTATGCTGCTATAAATTATAGTTTATTTCATTCCTAATAGCGCTGATAATGTCTGAAGTTACAGCGTACGGTACACCAACGTACAGCATTTCATCACAGTTGGCGTATTCTGGAATCCTGAGCCACCGGCTTGACCCCATAACCCTAAATCATCGTCAACCTGTATGCACGCCTATTACCCGAAATTTTTCCACAAAATTGAATTGCTTCGCCGTTAAAGCGACTAACCGGTGATAAATGTGTTGGATGTGTCTTCCGGCCAGTACTTGTCGTAACAGTAATATTCATACTGGCTCATGTTCCTGCAACAATGTCTCGCAATGTAATATTTCTGTACCGCCGTCATAATTTACTCCATATGTCGTACAAATCTCGTTTACCGGACATTGCAACTGGAATAATATGGATAAACTCCATTGGACGGCGGCTTTTTGGGGAACATGAAATAACACCAAACTTCTGCAATGCAGAATATTTAAAAGAAAAACATTTGTTCAACCAGCTCCATTCGGCGTCGAAAATTATGTGTTGAAAATGCGGTGGAAATGTGAACTGTGGCGCTCGTCTAAAAGATGGTATTCCCACATATTCTCCCCAAAAACCCTTTAGCTAAATGCTTGCAGCGCACGTCGCGTCCCAGAAAAGCTGTCTGCGCTAAACTTACGGTTGATGGCCATAAACTGACGAAACGAATCATAGATCCCTACGAATAAGGAAGAATCGCTGAAGAAATGCAACAAGAATTTTCCGCAATAATAATTAAGGAATCCCCACCGATCATCGCTTCGCCATCTTGACACTCGGATGTCCATCGGTGGTACTCGTCGATAAATCCGCCGCTCATGTACTGAATCGTCAGTATCGAATCCCCCGATCCTGTTATTCCAACATTAACATTTACACAACTCCGACAGAAATGCACAGTTTTTTTTTACTTCAGTCAGCTGCAGCATTAGCAGCCGCTCTACCGCGCGACTACGTAAACCACGACAGTCGACGAAAGTCAACAACTGAACTGCAAATGTCTTTGTTCAAACACTCTTTTACGGTAACGTGTGTTTTACTGCATTTTAAATACTTAATTCTAAAATAAAATTTATCAAAATTTGTAATGTTTATTTTTCGGTTAAGCTACTGAAAATAATTTTTCCTAGGGACTATGCGGGAATTTGTCGAGCGGGTGCTTATTAAGCGAAGCCATATAAGAAAAGCGTTTATAATGCGATAAAAATCGAAGTTTACGAGAAATCAGTTAACGAAAGCTAGCGTTGCGATAATTATTGTGCTTATCATTCAGTTACTTTCAGTTAAACTACACAGACAAAAACTGTGATATTTTGTATTATTTAGGCTTACCGAATGTACGCATATCTTCATAGTATCCATAACATACTCCCAGACAAACAGCTGCCACAATCCCGAATAGCTTCCACGCCATCTTGTCCATGCTAATCCGCCGACCGTTCATTTTGAGTTTAACAGTAACGAATGACGTTCACCTTCTAAACGGTTACTTCCATTGACGAAGATTGGAAATTATTCGGCAATATCCGTTGTTGTTGAGATTGAAAAGACCGGCAGAATAATACAGCGGATGAGAAAGATGTTTTTAAATTCTAATCGGTCTTGACATGTGTAGTCAATGACCGGTTGGTATAAAGTGATCATGTTTGATGGACGCGGCTCGATTACAGCACAGTGTGACAGATACATCGCTTTTATTGGTCTGCAACAACGCTAACAAAACGGTACCGGCGCTTAATTCACATCAGTCATCTTTGGCTAATTATCAAGAATGATACAATCGTCGAGCGCTTCTTTGGACAGATCGCAACAACGCACACAGGGCAATTTTTAAAGGGTCAACAATTGCCTTAAATTTTTTATTTTGCGTTACAACACAACCACGATTTCTCAAAAAACGCAACAAAAAAAAACGGGAAGCCAGTGGAAATATTCTTTTATCCGGTGAAAAATCACAGGAGTTGCCGCGACATATCCACAACGCGCCCATCATGTATCACCGGACAACACTACAATAAAACCACAGTTTTCTAAAGTAGTTTCGATCGCATCTCTCATTATTACAGGGAATCATTGTTACGTACTTGAATAAATGTGTAGTGCAGTTGGTTTTCCCAAGGATTCATTCCCATGCCCATGCCTGTGTAAAGGGTATAGGGCGCGTCAGACTTATAAAAGAATAGTGTAATGGACTACATCATCATAATTATGGAATTTTGGTAGGATCCATTTATTGAATTTATGAAATATTTTGTTGTAGTAAATAATATTACAGTAAGTACACTTAAATGTGACTTAATTACCCCCTTATCACACACTGATGTATCATAAAACTGCACCAAATTAATAATTGGTTTATATAATAATTATTAATTAATAATTATTATAATATTTATATAATCATAATTATTATGATTAACAATTGTTATAATTTTTAATAATATTTTATATTCAAGTTTGTGATAAATTACAGATTTACCGGTCATAACAAAGTTGGTATCGCACTTGGTCACCCAGTATCCGTCGTAGTGTTCACCGGCTCTATAAGGGCGGAACGTTACTCATTGTGCTTTGATTTCATAGCAAAATAAACACAAGTGACGAAAGCGTACTTATCGTGGGTGTACTTCCACTGGCAGCGCGTATAGTCGAGCCGGTATCCTGGCGGTGTTTTGCCTGTGTCATACGTAACGTATTGGTTACATGGCAATGCTGTCATGTGGGGCTGGCAAGATCTATGGTAACTACGGTCCAACCTACAGCATTTCATCAAATTGGGATTGACGGGATCGTAGATCGTCGGTGAGTACAGTCCTGCACAGCAATCACAATCATGCAGTTAATTTTTTTTTAAAAAATGGCTAAGAGATTGATGATTGTCAGTAAAGAGAGCATATTCTGAAACGCGGATCACCGGCCACATATTACTCTACATAAAGCACAGCACCGGGGAAGTATTTATACTTACCGGTGACAAATGTGTCAGAAGTATCCACTGGCCATAGCTTCTCGTAGCAGTAGTACTCGTGCAATGAGAAATTCCTGCAAAAGTGTAATAACAAGAGCCTAATCGATATTTCCGTACTTATAACGTAACAATTGTGTTACAGTATTAAGTTGTACCCTGATACCAATAATTGCTATCTGCTTGTATTTTTAAAAAAAGTTGTTATTCTTGCCGAACGTGACAGCTGGGATAAAAGGGATAGATCCCAGCCGATGGAGGTTTCTTGGGAAAGAGAAAGTAGCACCAGACCTCTGCAAAATGAAAAGCGTTGACAATATAAAAGTGCAATGAGGAAGAAGGTTATTCCGGATGCCGCGATGGGACGTACGCGAGATGCCGGTAAACTGTTTGCTCGTGTCATAGATGCCGATCATGCCTTCTCCGTCATTGCACTCAATTAACCATCGATGGTAGTCGTCGACAAAACCGCCACCCATGTAGCTGGCCGTTATTATCGTATCTCCAGAACCTGTACCCAAACATCGCACTATTGGAAACATCATTTTAGTTGCTTTGTACGAGTACTAGAATCCTATATCGTAAGAAAACAGACAGTGGATAATAAACAATTTATTTTTAAACCATCCAGACAGTATATTCGCCATAAAATTTTTTTGCAGTACTTGCTTATAAAAGCTAAATATTTCCGTTAAGACATACCAAACGATTTATAATGGCTGTAATATCCCACGACCGTCCCAAATAAAATAGATATCAGTGCCAAAAAGAAGGAATTATCGAGACCGGACTTCATCTCGGCATGCGCGCTAATTAAAAACAACGTCCACCAGAAATGTAATATTTTCTAGGAAAGTTAACAAAAAATTTAAAGAAGCTCTAGTTATCGCCTAATTCTGCTTTGAGGAGTATAACCATGTGGATGGCGCTGTAACGTGATTTACAGCGGAGTACGTACACAGCAAAACGTAACCCCGTCTACAGCGTGAGAATCTGATGACTGACACCTTGGGTAATGACCCTGTTTCAATAGATCACGCGTGGGGCAAAATTACGTCCGCGATGTGCAGAAAATAGTCGCCAGATCGGAGATTAAACGGTTACATGCTCGATGCACACAGTGTACTATCGTTGCTATCAATATTTTAGAAAGAGGCACGTCAATCTCTGTGCTTTGTAAATGTGCATGTGTTTTTTTAAGCTGCCTTTGGATCGCAAAAAATCCGTACAAATGAAATAAACGGACGCAAGACAGACAAGTCAATTTTCATTACACTGATGCTGTTGTCCACCTGACAATTATACCGGTATATCGGAAGTGATACGTTTGTCAGTCATGACTTTTATTAAAACGACTAACGAGCGTCAAGTAATGAACATTAGTAACATAGAGATCATTAACCGGGTAGCGGCAGTAAAGGTCACGGTAGGTATCAGCCAATAACAAGAAACAAAACAATGATTAACGAAATTGTTTTTGTAGTTGTCAGAGTTGTTTTCCCTTCAAGTTGGTTTTCGCCAGATCCGATGGAGATGGGCCAGTTAGAATAGCTGGCTGGCGCTAAGCACTTGTACGCCGGGTAAATACACCACCGGGCAACACTGCAAACCACACCAGTCACCAAAGGGCTGATCATAACAAAACAAGGGAGAAAAGAGGTGATACGTACCTGAATCCATGTGTAATGGAACTGGTCGTCCCAGGGACTCTTCGCCCATCCAATTCCTAAAGAATGACATCATACATGCATCTTACTATTCAATATACATCGCACGTCCTTTTCGGGTGGCTATTAAGTCAGCTTTCAAATTAAAGATTAAAGTTGTAAGGTTTGTAATGTACTGTAATGTTATTATTGGATTTAGGAGCCGATATAGTGATGACCTGCTGCACTGGGAAACTGCGTGTCTTTCGCAGTGCTCCTCACAAAGTCTCTGGTTACTGGTCATATTAAAATTTTCTACCATTTTTTACGGGGTAATAGTGCGGGATAAACATTGTATAAGAAGCTAACATCAAAAGTTCAAATGTTTTGAATCGTTCCGATCCAATGAGTAAAGAAATCAGAAACAGCTCTAACTCAAAAACTAAAATATTTTAAAAATTCTATCTATGACGACAACAAAATTTCCGATGCAAGTGTTCTAGGCACCATATTGCCCACTGTATCGTGTACCTGTCATCACGTTATTTGTATCGCATTTGGTGATCCAGTATCCATCATAATGCTCACCCATCCTATTGAAGTATGAAGTTAATAGAACTCGTATAGGTGTACCGATATATACTGTACTTCTATCGGTAAACATTAGAGATATAAGCTGAGAATTAAATAAATTTAATCTGCAGTCAGTGTACTTTTTACACTACAGTCAATATGCTCATACTTGTCGTGAGTGTATTTCCATTGGCATCTGTTGTAATCCAGCTTGTATCCTGTTGGAGTTTTGCCTTCAGAAAAAAATGACAGTTTTCAACTACCGCACGTAGTACAATTTCTGGGACAGGTTTACTGCCAGCTTGAACTTACAGCATTTGAACAGTGTCGGGCTTACCGGATCGTAGTTGACCGAAGAATATAAACCTAAATTCGGGAAGAAAACATTGCGTATTCCGGCAATTCGCCGATTAGTATAATAGAATATTAAATTTACTGCTTAAAGAAATATGTAAAATTTGTAAACGTTGACAAATAAAAATGTGAGAAAAAGAGGAAGACTGCCAAAAACAAATCCTGTTATGGTATAAAATGATACAGTAAGGTCTCAAATTAAATTCACTGAAGCGAAAAAGAGTAGCGTTTTGCTTTAATACATATACAGTATATCCAAAACAATTCGCGTAAAATTTGTGAAATGACGTACCGGTGACGAAGGTATCGGCGGTGTCTCGCGGCCACACTTTATCGTAGCAGTACAGCTCGTGTACGCTCATATTCCTGCAAAATATCGGCGATAATTTCCTTTCCTTGACCATTACCAAAAAATACGCTGGTGGTGACACAATCTTACCGGACATTACAAGATGGATAATACGGATAGATGCCGGCGGATGGCGGTTTCCTTGGGAATAAAAAGTTACACCAGACTTCTGCAAGCAAAGACATGATGTACCGTTAGCATTCCCTCTGGGAGTCGGGAGGGAGTACACTTACGGGAGATTCCATAAAACGGCATCAAAGCAGCAGCAAAAATTCCTGCAACAAAACTCCGCATACCGACAAAGATTCTGAAGAGTGAGTTTAATTAGGGAAAATTAAATTGTAACTGCAGTTGTACCGGTCATGCCTTCTCCATCGTTACACTCAATCAGCCACCGCTGGTACTCATCGACGGAACCGCCACCTAGGTATCCCGTCGCTATGATCGTGTCGCCGGTGCCTGTTTAATAAAAAAAGCTTCAGAATCCGTAATTTACTATCGAATAAATGCAACCAAACAAAAAAAAATAAAAATGATAGATGATGAAAAAACTTTAGATACCTAAACTAAATAATACACAAATAATAACTGAAGAAACAAACGCGGAATATAAAAATTATTGAAATATAAGGAAAGTACTTCTAAAATGCTTTAATCTAGCTAAAAATATAAAAGAAAATAAACAAAATTAAAAAAACGACAAAAATATTAATGAAATAATATAAATGGAGCATAAATAATAAAAAAATTAATATTAAAAGATACTGTGAAAAATAAAACAGGCAACTATATAAATGAAAAACAATTTTAGCAGATTATAAAGTAAACATAGATATTTTGACATATTTGGTTTACCGTAAGATTTGTAGCGCTGATAATAAGCCAGCGCGGCCGGGAATAATCCCATGGTGAATAAAATCAGCATCGCCCCGTTCGTCATTGTGATACCGATATTCCAGGCGGTAACAACAAGAATACACCATTGTCCAAATAAAAAATCACCGCCACATTTTCCACGGTACGTATTTTCGCATAAAGGATCTGTCATTGAACGACTCCAACCGGCAGAATCCTTACGGAACAAATATAAGATCTAGTCAAGCGGAAATTTTTCCGGTTAGTCAGCGGAATCCGGCGTCTATTACGCGCGGCTTAATTACTGGGCAACATTTTTGATCGTGTAAACTGCAATGCGGAGACACCGCGCGGTATATCGCACAATGTAATTTTGCAGTAGTGATTGGCAGGAACAACAAAGCGCGGCGTGTATATAATACGCTGACATGGTTGACACGATGAAGCGCTGTTAACCGCGCTAATGATGCTGTCGATGTGCTGGTATTGTGTCATTTTTAACCATTATACACATAATGAATACGACGTTAATTATAGCGTAAAGCTGTACAAAATGGCCATTCTCGACAATAATGTCAAGTTTCGCGGATGTGAAAACGCCGTTAAAAATAAAAAAATGCTCGCGTCGCTCGAGTACAGAAAACTAGGACAGAGTATCATGCAATATTACAAAATATTCGCTTCGCTCGTTCGAAAAAAATTATAGAAATCAAAGAAACAACATCGCTTCACTCGAGCAAAAAAAGATCATCCAGTATCGCAATATAGTTTCGCAAAGTTTCGGCTTCGCTCGAATGGTCAAGAGTACGACAGAAATTCATATGTTACGGTTAAACATCGTGAAATCGCTTCGTAATATTTATGGCTTTCGTATGCGACGCAAACTACAAATCCACATTAACGGATCCACTATCATCTCCAATGAATACAGCGTAGTCACCGCACTGTAGACGTTCCTCGGTGGATTGATGCGATAAAACAGGCTAAGAAAGAAGATGACTTGCACCGGCAAATAACAAATCAGAACACTGATTGTCGTCACACTGACGACGACAAACGGCTTAACCGCCCGGCGAGGCCGGTTAAACATCTTACGCGCCGGCTGCCAAGCGTACATCTCCTGTGCCGTCCGTGTTGAACGGCTGGTGCTGACCTGGTTGCTGCGGGGTGTTTTCCTCTTCCAGCGTTTCACGATAATGAACACGTAGCTAACCAGTACAATACACGTCGGCAACAGTCGGTTAATGATTTCATCCGCTTTGGGAAAATCCAGCGAATTCGTGGAAATGTGGCCGCAATCGTGATATTTTGCAAACACCGCCGGATAGTATTTGATCGCGTCGATTAAGTACGGCGGTAAATTGAGAATATGGACGTAGGCGACAATACCGAGGCAGATGAACACTGCCAAGCGACGGGTGTGGCGCTCGCGGTAAGAGACGGGAAAGGTCACGGCCCATACCCGGTTAAGAGAGATGAGGACGTGAAAGAGGACCGGGACGATGCTGCTGACCTTTTGGTATAAGTATAGCATGCACACGGGGTAGCCGGCGTTTGGGTAGAGGCCGTAGAGCTCGTCCAGGATCTCCATGGGACGCGAGGTAAGGATGTAGAAGAGATTGGCTAAATACAGCGCCAACAGGTACACGCTGAACGGATTTATATAGGCAGGAATGAAGTAGTGGATGAGTAGAACGGCGGAGTTGAGGAGAACGGAGACCACGGAGATGAGGAGTTTAAGGGTCACTAATGCGGTCCATCCGGCAGCCGAGTTGCGCAACGTTAAGACGGAGGAATCAGTCGCTGTGGTGTTGTGTGTGCTGGAATTTAAAAGCGTGATGTTCGGATGGTCCATGATTGGTCAAAAGATAAATAAATTTGTCGTCGTATGCACGGGCCGAATCTGAACAAAATAATGCAGGGATCCGGTAACGGGAACAATTGTCTTGATGGTGTTGATGTCTCGTGACTATGGTATGTTAATTACTGGCTTCATCGCCCTCGTCAGCCGGGGGAAGCATGGTTAACTGATAATTAACTGCCGGTATAAGTAACATGCCGTGCAGTAGGATTTCGTCAATAGGATCTCCAAGGGATTATCAAGTTGATTGCCTGCGTTAAGCGAACCAAAGTAGCCACGTTTTCCCGCTAACAAATTGGAAATCCGAGAAAAGTGCCGCTTTTTATCCGGAATAGCCACGAAACTGGTATCGTGCGCGACGGGAATAATAAGCTTAATACCATCACAATAACACTCATGTGACGCAATTACCATAAGAACAATATCGTACCAATTACTGGGCTGATTCGGCGGTGGAGGATGAAATCTCAGAGTGTGTGTCTCTCTTTCGGAAAAATTACAGGATCGTGTCTGGATATTAGAGAAAGCTGCATATCGTAATTACATAGCGGTTATATTGTTTGAGGCTTTTACCGTTCGATCCCAATAAACACCTGCACTCTGGCGTATTGACTACGCTAGGCTATTTGTAAATGCCGTATCATCCCAGCCCATTCCGTCATCGCCGGTGGCCATAATCACAGACGGAGTACACGTATAACGTCATTGATTAGTTTTACACGCTAATAGCATCTCTTTTATGACACCAGAGAAAAAGAGTTATAAATATTACAGCCCTGCCAAGCCAAGTTGGGGCAGTTAAAAAAATTTCTCCACTTCTACCAGTGAAGTGGAAAATTTTTATCGAATCTTTGCATGATAGTTCTTGGTCTCTAGCACCTTCAGTGATTTTGTTTCCATGCAAAAAACTTAGGGTCAGGGAACGGGATCCAAATTTATAATTTAATTTTTGGTGCAGAAATGACAGTGCTTACTAAGAAATAATCAAGTTTAGTCGATAATTATTTAAAAATTGGAGGAGGCTGAGAAGTTTTAGTGGATAGCGTAGATGTTTAACGGAACCTTCCTAGCATTTGTTTAAGCATTGACATCTTGTCTAATGGGATCAGTGCTCTAGGCAATCGCATTTTCTGAAGGTGCTTTTTAACATACAAGTCTATGGGAGATGAAACTTGTTTCGAGGTCACCTCGAGCAATGATGGCATAACGTCCCTATGTTGACCCCTCACGGACACCTTCTGGGTCACTCAACAGATTTCAGACATGTCCACATAAAAGTATCAGTTGGTGTATTTTCCAGAGGAGCAGTTATAAGACTCCGAAAAATGACCACTCCCCCTTCCCATAAATCCTAGTCTCGCCCTTTACTGTCACGGCAAACGATTTCAACTTTAACACTGCTGGATCGGCAAGAAAAGGTTTAGCTAGAAAATGCATGAACGAAAACAGAACTGCGTATGGCAAATTTTTAAATTTAGTTTTACACAACTGCCCCAACTTGGCTTGGCACCCCTGTATATCAGCAGTGGAAGTCGTTAATATATTTTACGATAACATGATTGTCGCATTAGCAAGAAATACCTATATGCGACAATATTTGTGCCGGTTTTTCATTTGGATATCAAATGGCGAAAATTTCCGATCACGTTGAAATTTTCTTTTGTACGGTAATCTAGTAAGTACAACAGATGAAAACATGGAGTGTCAGTGGATAACGTTATGATTGTTACATTAATAAATTGGAATAACAAAAAAAATCAAATGAAATGAAAAACTACATAGTAAAAAGAATTGCGTGCCTTGTACACAGTGAACATGACTACTATCCTGCTACAAAAAGGACGCATAACTTAACGCTTTACGCATAAGGAACTTTCCATTTAACAGTACGACACCGAATCTGTCCAAGTCATAATTAAATTTTTTTGAGGCAGTACAGTCGCTGATGGAATAGTCAAGCAAAAGCGTTAGATAAGAGCGACAATTACAGTACCAAAGCGACAGCACAAGTAATTTATTAGCAGAACTTTAATTATAGACATACGAGTAGGTCAAATCACCTGCTTACGTATTGCATTCGGTATATAGTGATCTACGCGTGCAGCTCTATTGGGGCCATGGGAACTGTATATCGAAATCAGGATTTCGAATACATGTACCTGTGTCATTACATTACGCATCTTTCTTCGTCGAGGGGAAACAGCCGGATGGCAGGTTTAGTTTTTCCTCGCAGCGAAATAACATCCGGCCGGTTAATGAGGTTTTTAGTTAATTACCTACTGCTTAATTACAGGCAAGGTGCTTGCATTTCTGGTGTCTGTATGGTTTTCCGGTGTGTTTGTAATTTAATTCTCAGGATCACTTATCAGGCGGCAAAAAGGGGGGCATGAGCCGCCTGACTACAAGTATCATGTTCGCGGCGCGTCGTTAAGGCGACCAACTACGTATCGGTGAAATGACGTCGTAACAGTTTGTTAGCATTACGCAAAGATGATAAAATGGCGTATAAGAAAGCATTGAAAATATACGATGAAGAATTTCGAGCACGAGAAAACGAGCACGAAACAAAATATGCTGCAATTGCCAGTAGCATAAGCGGCGACGACAATAATAAAACGCGTATGACCTTATATCTGTAGATGCTACAGAATACGAAAAGTGCTATCTAACTACAGTAGCTATGGCTTCTTAGTGCGGTGCAGACTGCACATCCACATGAGCGGATCCACGATCATCTCCAGTGAGTATAGCGTGGTCACGGCACTGTACACGCTCCCCGGCAGATTCATGCGGAAAAACAACACCAGGAAGAAGACAATCTGTACCGGCACATAGCATATCAGCACACTGGCTGTCGTCACGCTGACGACGATAAACGGCTTCACCGAGCGGCGTGACGTTTCCAACGTCTTCAGCGACTGCTCTTGTGTGGTGCGTGTTAGCGATTTGCTCGCACTGACCTGATTTCCGGCCTTCCGTTTCCAGCGCTTTACAATGATGAAGATGTATGTCGTCAGTACAATAAATGTCGGTAGAAGACGATTAATAATTTCGTCCACACGGGGGAAATCCAGAAAATTTACGGAGACGTGCCCGCAGTCGTGGTATTTTGCATAGACCGGTGGGTAATATTTGAGGGTGTCGACTAAATACGGTGGCAAGTTGAGGAAGTGGACGTAGGCGACGGTACCAAGGCAGATGTACACCGCTAAGCGACGGGTGTGGCGTTGCCGGTATGAGACGGGAAAGGTCACGGCCCACACCCGGTTAAGAGAGATGAGGACGTGAAACAGGACCGGAACGATGCTGCTGACCTTCTGGTAGAGGTATAACATGCACAGTGGGTAGCCAGCGGCCGGATAGAGGCCGTAGAGTTCGTCGAGGATCTCCATGGGACGCGAGGTGAGGATGTAGAAGATGTTAGCAAGATACAGCGCCAACAGGTACACGCTAAACGGATTAATATAGGCAGGAACGAAGTAGTGGATGAGGAGTACGGAGGAGTTGAGAAGCACGGAGACCACGGAGATGAGGAGTTTGATGGTCACCGATGCTGTCCATCCGGCGGCCGAATGGCGCAGCGTTATGACGGAGGAATCGAGGTTGGTGACGTTATGGATGGTGGCATTAAAGATCGTGGTGTTTGGGTATGCCATGATTCGATCGTTAACGAAATACACAGTGTATAGAATCCCTCTTGACGTTCGTGGTCTGATGTCGAAAGAATAATTGTTCCGTCAAAAACTGCGTACTGGACGCCAGTGCATGGATACCGTTGCGTTATGTGTAAATTGTCACTGGATCTCCATGATGATTGCCGTGCCTCTGTAATTTTAATTACCGGTTAGCCTTGCAAGTACGTGGTAAGCTTCTTTAAACTGTGATTAACGGAGTATTAACTGCAGCTCACACAAGACATGCGATCTTGCTGGGGACAGGAAGAGATGTGCGGATACGCGCGATGAAGATGATGTGCATGAAAGAGATGTGCGGATACGCATTCGTTTAAATGCGAATGAGACCGGATTTCGTTCTGGGTGTGTCGCGATAATTGTACCGAACTGCCATGCTGGTCTGGAAACAACGGTTTTGAATTAAGATAATACGAGTATTTCGATCATCAGTGTAATTTCTTACTATTTTCTCGCTCATAAACCACAAAAGCGTCAGGGAACCATCTAGCAGCCACGTGACGAAATGTTTACAGATGTGCACAACCGGAAAATGGCCGACTAAGCGTTTCGCGACGAGATTTCAGTCCCCGACTTCGTCGATCACAGATTTAATATAAAACATTTATCAGCAGAAAGCTGTATCTGTTTATCAGGCAATAGTCACGTAACAAAAATAGTCTTCGCGGTCACACTACGAAAAATGATGCATATCTAAATGTTAAAAAAACACCCAAAATCATTAGAGCTCTCCCACTTATTCGACCTCGCGTTTTGTATTCAGCGCACCAAGAACAACGGCCGCGTTACCCCTACCCACAGCCAGACTTCACTGCTGTCTCAGAAAGGCAATGAACGAGAATCTCCTATCGGGTCCCGTAGCTTCCTTCCAACGGAACGGAACATCTCCGCAAACGCGTTCCCAAAAGTTCCGAGGGTATTAACGGCCAGCTGATAAAGCAGAAACCTTGGTTTGCAGCGTTCAAGGAAACTAACGGAATAAATAAGACCGTTTTTCTTTAGAAAATCAGCATGTGGCTTTTATTTTGGGCACTGTACTCTGTAGCTGGTCTCAAGAGAAGAACGGCTTTACCTGTTCAGCGTTCTTCATTACTTTATGCTTATCAGCTTTCGAAAATTAGAGTCAAGAATATCTTGTACAAAACAGCGCGGAGCGAAGTTCAAGTAACAGGCGACGGAAATTACTGCACACACTTGCTTTGAGTCAGTGCTGTTTAGAAGTAGCAAACAGCAATTATTTACTGACAATTGACCATACAGTTGAAATGTGCAAAACAATTAAAAGTTTACTACAGAGTACAAATTTTGCCCATCACATTTTTTCCGAGTTTCTGATGCGCCAAAATGTTCGAAATAGCTTTGGAATCGGTTACTTAGATCGGACATGAATTTCTCCAGGGCCGATTAAGCGGCGCCAGCCGCACGTTTTAATTTTGCTACTTGGTTGGTCATTAAATACGCGAGAAACAAACTGCACCCAATGGACTGCATGCTGGGGCCCAGTGCGCAAACCCTCTTACGTTACCAGTGCTCATGCGCTGGTTATTTTCAAGCCAACTAGTCACGACGAAGATTGGTAGGAAAATTGAAACGACAAATGTGATAAAGAAAAATAACGTTGTTCCAGTTTTTGGAAGAATAACAATCCGACCTACGCATGGGCTATATGAGACGCCACGGACTGAGGCAAATATTTTAACAGCTTCAACATTCAGAAAAACGCATGTACGAATTCTGAACTGCAAACTGCCGCTACTGTCAGCGAAATCGGCAAATGTTGCGCGTAGGCAAATCTTTTGTGCAGTCTTCTTTTTCTTACCTTTCGTTAAACGTTGACAACTGAGACGTAAAAAAAAGTTTGGAAAACGGCCATACCATTCAAGTTAGGCGAGTAAGCATTGGCGCGGACGGGGAAGCCATCGACAGGATACAGCAGAAGAACGGCGCCCGTCAAACAAATCAAAAACGACGCAAAAGGAAAACGCATTGTGTTCCCTGTTTCTTTTCGGTTGCAATAGTTAGCAAGTACAGAGTACGACAGAAGCGAAGCAGTAGTAGCAGCTAGAAACGCTAGCTAGAACGAATCATTCCGAGTCCCGACTGATGCATATCTTACTAATATAGCAAAACAATCTATTACGAAAGGGGCCCAACGAAAGGGCTAGTGCAGAAAGGTGCAAAAATACTTGCAGAAAAGGTGCGTGTGTGAAGACTCGAAGAGCTGAAAAAACTGTCTTTCAGTACCACATGCCCGTGGGAAGCTGCAACTACCGCCCGAACTTTTACACTCCTCAATCCAGCAATCATAGAAAAGTGGCGCAAAAGAGCCATCACTTGACCTCTTTATATGGAATTTCCATGCGTTCGGCCCATTTTATTACACCAGCGCACGATTCTTCCGGTGGAGTTGCTCCGAAAGGGAGTATACGCTACCCCCTCGCGGCGCCCTGTATGTGTTTTCCTCCAGGAGAACCTTGGTTTGAAAAGGGAGTGGCATTATAGTCCATAGCCATAATTATGACACCTGACTTGCCAAACCAAACCCAACTCAAATTCAGAATTGTCCAGGTCTTTCGTTTGCTGGATGAGGACAGCATAACAATGACTCGCAGAAGAAAATGTGCCTTGATATTGTATCTTCATGCGCTCCTATCCCAGATACTGAGTTACGGATTAGTTTTCTAAAAGAATATTCGAATGTTGGGTGCTACCACAATTTTTTGTAAAAGAGTGTGATAAGCATCTGTAGGAAGCCGCTCGCGTGTGCAGCTGCATACGGGCACCGTATGCAGCTGATTGTTACGAGACGTTTCGTGATTGTTACGAGTTACAGCTGTTTTCGTGATTGTTACGTGTTAATTTCGTCGGCATGTGGTATTGAAATTTTTGTAGACGGTGTTTGCGCTAGTTTTTTTTCTGTGACGCTTTCATTATTGATTGCGTTTAATTGTAATAAATTCCGATTTGATTTAATTTAAATTAGGATCTACCTGGCAAAGTCAACAACTTACTTACGTTCTAATAAGCAACACCACTAGTAGCTTTACTAGCTTACTTTGTTACATTCGTGCAGCAAACTCTGTGCGTCTCACGTTATCGCCTCGTCTCTAAGGTATTCCTTAATTTCTAATTAAACGCATCGTGCGCAGTGTACTGTGTATATCATATTTCATGGCAGGGAGATTTCACGCCTGGTTATTTTCGCAGCAAGTATGCAGCTTCGCAATTAGTGGGATGGCACTTGGCAGTCTCTTACCGTATTACTGCACGCCCACCGACTGCATCGTAGTAATTGGTTCCGCTCCTCACGTGTCGGCCAGCTTCGTTGTTTGGACGAGTAGATGAAGGCTTTAAAAAGTCAGGAAGGTCAAACATCATCTCAAATAACGTTCATACCGCGAAAATACCTGCGGGGCATACTACTTCCCACCGGGTGACCTATTGATTAACGGGATATAGTGGTTTGTAACATGCCAATTTTTTTGGTAGAACTGCTCGGGCACAAAGGTAGAATCGTGCGGGCGCATGGGGGAGATTTCCCAGGCAGGAAGCCGACCTTTTGGCAACACACCGCTTGGTAATCGGTGGTTAGATGTCGGCATCTACGGCACAACCTTCTTTATCGGGTGCAAAGAAAACTGGATACGACCTAACTACACAAAAAAATTGCGCAGCAGCCATTCGATGAATTTTGCAGAGAGAATTCGCGATGAGGAGCGCCGCTCGTTGTGTGGCAAAAGCAAGCATTAGAAAAGAAAATATGAAATTACAAAATGTGAAGGAAAGTGTCCAAATATATTTGAAGAAATAGATATATTATGCCATATCTGTAGTGCAGAGGCCTTAAATCCAAGTGAAAACATAGCGTTCGCTACTTACTAGCTGAAATTTTAAGCGGTAAATGGTCGGACGGGGTTGTGTACGAATAAGAAACTCGACGATATATCTTACTATCAATTCAGTGTCTTCGTCTGTGCTTTCGTCTATCATTTAAACTTTCGAAAATTTCGTACATTCATGATAAACTCCGAAGTCTAAAATATTACCAACATTATAACATCTATAATATAATAGTTTTGCAATAACGTCATCATAATGCTGATGATGGTGGTGACATTTGGTGATGAAGATTCATCACCGTCATCCTCCATCGATGAATCACCATCGTAATCATTCCACAATCTTAACCAATCATTATACCGCTACAGCATTATTACATAATTTTGCAATGGCATCTAATAATCCGTGCAGCATATTATTATTAATCTTATGGCTTCCTGGTGGGACGCAGACTGCACATCCACATGAGCGGGTCGACAATCATTTGCATAGAATACAACGTGGTCACGGCGCTGTAGACGTTTCTTGGCAAACTTATGCGAAAAATAGCCCCAGAAAGAAAATAACTTGGACCGGTAGATAACAAATTAGGAGACTAATTGACGTCACGCTGACGATAACGAACGGCTTGACGGAGCGCCGTAGCGGACCCGGTTGCTGCGAGTAATCCTCATGTTTCGTACGTGTCGAACACCGGCTCGCACTGATCCGATTACTCCTCCGTTTCACGATGATGAAGATATAACAAACTAATACAATCAGTGTCGGCAGAATCCGGTTGATGATTTCATCCACTTTTGGGAAATCCATCGAATTAGTAGACAGATGACCGCAGTCGTGGTACTTGCCAAATACCGATGGATAAAAGTGGAGCACGTCGATTAAATACGGAGGTAAATTGAGAAGATGGACGTAAGCAACGGTACCGATGCAGATGAATACCGCCAGGCGACGCGTGTGGCGTTCGCGGTAGGAGACGGGAAAGGTCATGGCCCATACACGGTTGAGGGAGATGAGAACGTGGAAAAGAATCGGGACGATGCTGCTGACCTTTTGGTAGAGATACAGCATGCAAACGGGATAGCCGGCGTTGGGGTAGAGGCCGAAGAGCTCGTCGAGGATCTCCATGGGACGCGAGGTGAGGATGTAGAAGAGGTTGGCTAAGTACAGCGCCAACAGGTACACGCTGAACGGATTTACATAGACCGGAATGAAATAGTGGATGAGCAGAACGGCGGAGTTGAGAAGAACGGAAACCACCGAGATGAGCAGTTTAAGGGTCACCAGGATGGTCCAACCGGCAGCTGAATGGCGTAGCGTTACGATGGATTCGTCGGTGATGTTGCCGTTGATTGTCGTGTCACTAAAGTTTGTGATGTTTGGGTGCTCCATGGCTTTTTCCAGGGAAAATCAAGATATACAGCCCTGATTTACCTCACGAATCTAACGTAGTTATTTATTGATAATGGAGAAAAGAGATATTGCTGACTGGAAATATCAACGGATATGGCGGAAGGTAAGCTTTTTGTGGAGCAAATTTAGCATCGAAATACTCCCGGCGTCCCGCAACGGCAGTTGTAAGCGTCGAAGGTTACTTGCTTGCTCGTCGACGAGGCGGAAGAATTTACATGATTAATTGATCGCTAGCGTAAATCTTAGCCCTCGCATGAAATGTAGCATGGAATATTCCAACACGTCTGCAGTTTTAATAACACGGCGTTACTGAAGCGTTGCGAGGAATTAAGTAATTATATTCACATATTTGGATTCTCAGAGCTGGATTCGAAGTGGTAGAATTAAATACAAAGCTCCAAGCGGTTATCACGTTTTTCAAGACGCCGCAGAACTGAAATTACTACCTGAGCTGGAGCAGTACGATAACATTTATGGGATGCAAAAAAGGACCTATATACTCACGTGATAAACAAGTAGATTACAGTGAAGCAAAGTGACATAGAAGCGAAAAAGCGTTCGGCGTGCGCGGGATATTCACCATGCAAGCTCGCGCGCAGAATGTCGTATTCGCAATGTTGGCATTATATCTGTACAGCGAAGCAGGGCGTTTCATCCTATTCCTAACCGCTTACAGCGATTAGAGCCGGACCCACTCTAGCAAGTACCAACTGACCGGGTAGAATCATCGTTCGCTGAATGAAACAAAATACATAATTCTGGGTTACGTTTAGTTGTTCGTTAATAAAACGCCCCCACGATCCATTAACGTAATTCATCCAAGCTGGTAGAGCGTAACATGCCACCTTCTCACGCAGAATATACAAAACGTAAAACATTCAAGGGGTGTCATTGATCAGCTGGCAAACGCTTAGTGTAAAAGCTACTCATGTACATTGGGCAAACGTCTGCTATCAATTTTCCTTGAACACAAGTCCGGATGTTAAAGATAGCTTATTAAGCAGGCTGCGGTATCGACGAAGGGGTGCGATTGACGACAGAATTAACGACGGCGTACAATTACCGAACGTTTAAACGGCAATACCCGTCGTTATTAACGAAACGAAGGGGGTATCGTTTCGTTAATAACGACGTTGAAATTCAGTAATTAACGACCGGGCCCATATACACCATTGAGCACGAAGACTGCGCAGGCGAGACAGTCTACCAAGTGAATTTCTGCCTGGGCATTCAATCCTGAGTTGCCAACTCGACTCGAATTTTTAGAAATTGCAATCCCCGACCGTTGCACTGCTGCTACTGGTTTCTTTGCCAGCTGAAATCAAACTGATTTCTCAAACGGCGTGCTTTAAATTTATTGACTAATTATAATACAGTTATAAGATTAGTATAGTATAACTGGGGGTTACCCAATGACCAGTACAATGTAAGAAATTTGACGCCTTAAAGCAGCAGCAAACGGCACGCATGTATTCCAGAATGGAATACTGCGCTCTTTGACTAGGTGGAAATTATAATTCCGTTTCTGCTTGATATTCTATCCCACTAAAACAGCTTTGATTTTTTACGCTGCAAAATGAAATTTTTGATATTTGTTATCACTAAAGAAATTTGAAAATGAATGTTTGGAAAAAGAAAACTCATCAATTTCGTCCCGTTAAAGTTGTAGGAGGTAATTGTCCAGTCTAAAACGCAACCTCTTTTTCGCATTTACGAAGCCTTAAATTATCAACGTTAAAATCGTCGTTAATTTTGCCGTTAATAGTAACGCCGTGCAAAACGCAACCTACTTATTGTATCGACTAGTGATCCTCCCCGTTTTAGAATCCCTCCTCGACATACTAGTCCCATGCCTTCATGTTGCGAATTTATAGTGACCCATTCCGAAAAATACAAACCGGGGCTTATAAAAATTGGGGAAAGGAAACGACACCCGTAAAAATGCCACCGATATATTACAAAAACGTAGTATAAGGTATACGAAATTTCAATCGGTTTTACAAAATACTCCTACCTGTGATTTTTTCCCTCAGTGCATCTTTCATTATTTTACAGGAAACGAAATAATATTCTAATTCCTTTTCTTAGCATTTGAAAGATTCAATTAAACTCACAAAATGCTCGTCTTAAGCCTGCGTAATTAGTAAAAATCCTCCGCGAATTTTAAAATTGTCCCCGAAATAAAGACCCCGGTAGCTGCCCACTCAACTGACATAACTGAGTTTGCCTGTATATATACAGTAACCAGTATTAACTAGTAGTTAGTAACTACTAAGGGAGTGTCTCAATTTCGAAGGAATCGAAGCGAATCTACATAGCTCTGGTACAGTTGCTGTATGCAGTGGCCACGCTCGCAAGCCACCTCGAGCATAGGGTATACGGGAATACGAAACCAATAAGGTATACGAAGCCACCTCGGGAGGTGGATTTGCTGTATTGTAACGAGATTTGCTTCGAAATTGAGAGACTCCCTAAGTACGGGAAATAATAGGTCAAAACATTTTATTTTTATGTTGTAATTAATCCTTTTTTTGCGAAATTGGCGATGTACTGGCTTATGCAAATAAAAAGTAATAATAATTATTGTAATAATGATGCAATTTTGTCGTAAATCCGTGGCATACGCTCTTACAGGTTTTATTGTATGTCCGCTCAATCAGGTATATCACCGTATATGTAATGTCCGCACCACCGAAAACGACTGTCCCTGTTGGCGACATGCCACTTTCCCGGTGAGTAGAGAGGGCATGCTGAATACTGGCATCAATGCCGAACTATTGTGCATTACTCAAATTATTCTGGCTAATTAGGTTAGACTGGTAAGTAAAGTTACAAGCTGAAGGTGAATCTCGCATAACTTAATGACACAGATTCGCTTAAATTCGGGAAGGGGAATTGATTAACATGAAATCGAATGCGTAGATCCCATCTCGTCAAGCAGTAGACAGTACGTGGTGTCGCCAAAGTAATATAAGCCAACAAGAGACAAAGAAGCTGTATGCTGCGTTTTCTTTGAAATAAGGAGCATAGGATTGCAAGCTGCATGTCGGCGGGCAAAAGATACCAGCGAATCTGCCAGGATGAACAGCACGACTTAAGTTTTCTCCAAGGTCAGCAGAACGTACGTTACCAACAAACCAATCATCTGAATGCAAAACGTTTGAATAACAAAAAATTTCGAACTTCTGATATGCAGTAACACGTACTAGTACTGTGACTGACTCAACTGATGCCATAAACTGGCGATTAATCATGCAGACACCGGCAAAATGAAATCCCACGGGTCGAGTATCCAACTCGTAAATGGTCGCGCGCAGCAGTTTGCCCACATCTTTTGGCTGACTGGAAATCACCTCGGGTTGCAATGCGGTACGGTAGTCATGCACCTGTATGAAAAAAAGGGAGGTATAATAATACTCGACACGTAAAAGTTCTTCGGGACCTTGTCGAACGTAAAAATCATTGACGCAACCATAATACACGTCGTCGCGACGAACACCATGGAATCGAGCTGTTCCCGGAGGGACGTCTGGCCGGCGTGGTATGCCTTAAACGTCCGCGCGGCGCTCACTGCTCCCAAGACGGTCAAGAAGGACAGCGTAACATGACACAGTGTGCTCAACTGCGTTTCCTCAGCGATCGTTCGCAGCAGTTTTCGCAACTGCGCATGATGAATAACGAGCTCTTTTGTAAGGTGACTACATGCCAGGCGTTCCAACCGGCGGAAAAGCACGCCCATGGACAGCGACCACGCCGCAAAATACAGCGTCATAACTCTGGCGTGTAAAGTTGGTACCAGACTGATCTGCGGTAACATCACCGCTACTGTGTTCCATAGGGACGACGTATCGTTGCCATGAGTGTTTGGAGAGCCAGAGGATCCAACCAGAGACCAGTAACTGACAGTAACACATTTTTCCACCGGACTGAGGGATGACACTCCAAAGAATATGGCAAATGCAGCTGTGCAGCAGATAATGGCTGCTTTATCTCGCGTATCCAGATATTTTACGAAAAAATGTTGAGAGTTCGCCAGATGGTGTCGCAGATGGCGGAAACCCCACACCGTACTGGCGTACTGCACTGGTAGTATCAGGCAGAACATAAACTTTGTTGCAGCACTTACGACTTCGCTTGGTGCAGCAGTTAGGGGAGGTATTGTGACGAATAAGTTATAAGTTGTCCCCGAAATCAAGCAAAATGCAATGAAAATCATGATGCACCATACACAGTTAATCAGGCTTTTCAAAGCGTGATGCGGTGGTCGTTGGTGGCCGTCCCACCAGCCCAACAACTGCAACATGGGCAGCGCCGTTGTAAGCAAGTCAGGAATGGCTATGGCGGTTAAACAACGCATCATGTACAGCAGTACAGTGTCGGCTGTTAATAACAGAAGTTAGCGCGTAACTCAGAAAAAGCCTGTCCAGAAGCTGAATCTTAGACGGAATTTTACACTTTCCTTTACTACAAAATTCCCAACGAGCGCTCGCATACAGTATTATTCTGTGGGGTATGACTAATATTATAAGGACAGCGGGTGGTGAATGTAGAGCAATACAGTACTTGCAATACACTCTATACATTATTCGCATTATTTGCTTAGACCACAGCCGGATGACGAAGGTCCATTGGGAAGTCGCCTACCATCGCTTTCTTTCTCTCGCGATTAGTACTCTAAGCACCACACCGACGCTAATGGCAAGTTGGTAACTAATAGTCCACACTCCCGAGCAAATATTGAATGAACCATTCTACGTATATCGAAATTAGCCATAACATCCCCATTCGTACGTCCATGCATTAGGATGCGAATATTGTCTAAATGCTTCACCGTTTTTGGAATACTTGCTCAACCAGCTTGCCATGACCGCTTCCTAACCGCACCGATCTGAAAGCTGACCCCAACGGTTTCTGACTCCGGCTTTCGCCTCGCATCGTTCTTCCGTTCGTAGGAGAAGCTCTCAACGCCAATAAACGCGAAGTGGCTAGCAACTCGGTCCTTCTGCGGAAACGGGCATACCGTCGACGCGTTTAACTTTTAGGCAAAACCGTAGCATATGACACATACAGATGTGATTTTTGTACTTTAAAATAGGTTCAGTAATAGTACCGCATTTGTTGTTACTGAGAAACCAGCTTTTAAAGTGAAAAATTTGAAGTCGATTTTTACAGAGTAGAGATGTGAAAAAAATATTCTGAAACGGCAATTTTGTAGAGTGAAGTATTAGAAGCTTATTATACGGACAGAATTTTGATTGATAAAAAACAGAAAAATAAAAAAAATCGGGGGTGCCAAAGAAGTGCTTGGGGCACCCTACCCCTGGATATTTCTGACCATATCTGCCGAACAAAACCCTAAACAGAGATTCTGTCCGTATAATAAGCTCAGGCTGCGGTACTTTATTTATTGCGATTTTATTCGTAATTTTTGGCAAACAAATGTATTCACAGCTGATTTTCAAAGTTTTTTTACGTTTTGTTCACTGTTAGTTTGCAAAAGTATACCTCTTTCACGGCTTTGGTGCCGGTACCGAGAGGTGCTGGCTGCCGCACACAAAAGCACATGCACATTTGGAGCAACGCAGAACAGGCAGGCAGCCATATAACATTCATGCAGACTGATGCAGTCATAGACACTAAAACAAAAGACCGCAGTCACACGGCAGATTTGCTTTTATGGCGTCTTTTGTTTCTCTTTCTTGTCAACAAGCTCAACAAAGCTGGATGGGGCGGTTGCAGATTTTGATCGCACCTGATTGCGATTACTTCAGTGCCAACCAGTGATGTCGGTGGCGATTGAAGGAATATGCCATCACTCACAATAAGCGCGGCGCAACCCATTATTTTGCGGTTCACCTTACGTGCCCCCCTCTACCACTCGTACAACTTTGATTTTTTGCTTGTTAACGAAAAAAGGTATACTCACTCCAATTATCGCTTCATGTAGTATAAAAAGCGCTCTGTAAGATGAGCAAAGGTAATTTTTGATAATTATTTTGAAAATTCGCTAGCCACTTCGCGTTAACTTACTGTCCAATCGGTAAAATCTTGATTTTGGAAAACGCACTCATCGCGATGTAAAGAACTTTTAGCAATCTACAGATCTGAACGCTCCTTCAAGGCGTGGAGTGGAGATGCTCTAGCCTCGCTGACGTTACTATTTTAATAAAATCAACACCGTCAATGTACAGCAGCGGACTTATGTAGTAGCAGAAGCTGAAACGAAAGCCTGCTATAGTGCAAAAAGCCAAAAATGTTGTGCTATGTATAGCCAGAAATACAAAGTATTAGCGACGGATTACATTATGCAGTGCAGACACGCGAGCTTGGACCAGAGCAAAATTTTGAACTACTTTTGTATTGCGGTCCCCACGCCGACGCGCTTGACACCGCTCAGTCCATGGGTCACGATGTGCGGCTGTTTAGGTGATACAAACTGCAGAAACCGGAACGGTGTGCCTCATTGGTAGTTTGCCAAAACCTCCGGGAATAGTTCGAGCCGATTGCGGCAAAGGAATAAGTATGTATGAAAGAAAAAGTCTGCTGGCTTATAAACATAGAAGTACTGATACTAATTCAATACCGACGTGGTACCGACAATTTCCACGGCGTTCTCTTACAGCTACGGTAAAGTTTGGTGTGCGCGGCTGTATGGCAGTACGACGTTTTATTTCACCTGAGGTACAACGTAAATTTTTAATGATAGAAAACATCAACATTTTTTACAACATCAGAATTTCATTAAACGTTTCTGCTCATTCCATTGTTCCCATAACCGACGCCGAGTTGCCGCGCTAAATCTCCAGTGACAATCTTTGGCGTAAAAATTCATGAGAACGGGCTTCCGCCGTGTGTTGCTCGAGTCGTTTAACCAGTGCTTTAATGATGGCGATAGCGGACGGCCCCCAAGGGCCCATTGTTTCGAAAGCTATCGGTACGAAGATATCGGTATTTGCCACTTAGATACAAATAAAGCCGGGACTCTTTTCTTCCGCTTCGTTTGCTGCCGTAGACTTGACGTGGGAATGCGCAACCGTGGCGACACAAGTGACTTACCATGCTAAGCACATCCCTCTCTGCCAGGCGAAGGTTGTGCAGCCATCAGGACGTCCTTCGGACGTATGCGATGTGCCACGCGGCTCCAGGTTTGCCGGAATCCCAGCTGACACAAGAAACCGGCATACGATGCAGTAAGACCCGGCTGAGAAACCTAAAAAGCCCAAGCCCAAGAAACCAAAGGAAACCAAAGAAAAACCTCCGAAAATTAACGAATATAGATACATGGAGCATACATAAAGCATCCTGTGGGATACGCTAGTTAGAGAGAACGAATGCAGTAACAATATTGCGATACGCGCAGAATACTTATATAAGTGATGTTTGCATGCGCATCTCCATCGAAAGCCACGGCAACCCACCGTATCCCTCAGTATTCTTCATGTGTCCTTTCGTGAATACTACTTTGCGGGTTATCAAATACTTCCGTATCCCAACGTATCTTACCGTATCCCTTCAATAATACGTGCCGAGTATTTTCGATGTAACCGGATAATTTTCCGAGTAACCGGATAATTTTCCGTACATTCGGATGCACAAAGGGTACTGCAGAGATGCAGTGGGATATGGCAGTGATAAAAAAAGTAGAAAATTCACAGGATACATGAAGGATACGTAGATGGTACTGTGGCATACTGTGGATACAAGTCATATGTCCGCAAAAATTTAACGTGTACTAACCGTGCCATAGATGCTTTTCTAAAATATGCAATATAACTGTGCGATGGAATGAACCGAAAACCGAAGTATGCCGAAAGCAAACGCAGTTAGCTTATAAGCTGTTCTTGCCCCAATGTAGGTTATTACGCCAATTTTATTTAGATTGGTGTTTCTTTCAGAATCGTTATACATATACACTTTGTAGGTCCTACATTTTTATTAAAAGTTTTTGTGAAATTGTTTTGTAAAATCTTAAAGAATCAATTTTGGTGTATAAAAATTAAAGAAGAACATTTCCTTTGGTGTCAGTAACAATACTGCCGTACTCAATTTCATTCATACTACATGAATACAGAACGGCTCATTTCTATGCATTCTACTTGACGGCCATAATACGAGTATTATGGCCTGTGGTTATGCAAACAAAACAATGACCTTCCAATCACATATTAAGTACACCTCGTACTTTTCTGCAACCGAACATCCAATCAGAGAAATCCAGTTCAAAGGCGTTTTTAAAATTACGTTAATACTGTTTTGAAACTCGGTCTAGCACATGTACAAGTACACGATGTTGCAAGTTCTTTAAACTACAGCGATAAAAATACCATCGACCGGTTCATTTATTTACGCGCATTGGAAAACTGGATGAGTTGCAGCGAGTGATGTCGTGATTCCAATGTTAAGTAAAAATGCATAATAAATTTATTTAGAAAATGCTTAAAATAATAATTCTGGAAAGAACGTTTCATTTAATAGTCCGGTACCACCCTCCCGATTTTCCCAATTTTTTTTAGATATTTTGGGAAAAATACCGTCGAACGCTCATGCAGATCTTAAAGGCTGGAAATCTGGCCGAGTCGGGAAAGACTCAGCTGTGTAAGAACAATAATACCATTATCTGCTAGAATAGGCTTACTTATCGAATCCTTGCATTTGCCGAAAATTTGCAAATTCCATTGTGTTGCTTGAACTGCAGTACTTCACTTTAATATTGCATTAATTTTTATTATCGCGTTATTATTATTATTTTTTTATTGTCGAATATTTTTATACCGTTCACGTGAATTTTATGATGATTAATAATTTTATTCAGACAAAGGTGCATCACGGTTTATGTGGTACGTTAACCAAAACAGTTTTGCGTTTAATATGGAATGAAACTTAGATTTGCGTGTATTATGCATGAAGTCTGCCATCAGCTATTAAAAATAATTAACCGTGATATGCAAAATAAGCGGAAGGCACGGCTGTTGTAAAACCAACAACGAGGAAAGCGCAGCTTCCGCCACTTAATTGATTCCCATGATATTAAGATCATTAAAGAAATATCGTGTTCAAAATAATAAAAAAAATAAAGTAGAGCGCATATCATAATATGCACTGTTCAGGTTACTGGATTTTCTCGGTCTTCTCAGTCTTCTCGAAGGTGACCTTCTTATCAACGGACTGCATGTCATCGCGGCGCTGTTGTGCGCGTTGTTTCTGCTGTTGGAACTTCTCGCCAATGCCCATCTGCAGTCGGCGGGCACTATTCCACATTCGGTCCAACTGCGGCCGGAACATCATGTACAGTTTGGGCAGGGTGAACGCCAGCACCCAGCCCACCATTAGCAGACTCGTCAGGGTGAAGTAGTGGCCGACATAGGTCAGGGCGTACATAAACAGTATCATCTTCAGCGTCTGCCCCACACTGTCCACCAAATACAGGTTGCGCAGGGCCACCAACTTCCGGTTCAGCGGCTGCAGCACGGCGTCCATCTGCTCGTGTACATATTCCGCATCCAGTACGGTGTCGCGTTGCATGATACGCTGGAAGGGATGCGCGACGCCGGGACGCTGTTGCAGCGTATACAAAATCTGCCGGCCGATAACGCTAGCCCCGCTGATGATGAGGGTGCCCAGGGATAAATAGGCAAAGATACTGATCAGGCTGAAGTAGGACAGGGCGGCCATCAAGCCCAACCCCGCGCTGAACACCACCGCCGAGTCCAGGACGCGGCGCCAGAGGCAAAGGTCACGTATTACGTGAAACAGCGGGCGCAAGCGGATGGGCTGAGTTTCCTGGCAGGATTCTGTCGCGGACTGCAGCGCCTGGTCCGCACCGCGCCTGTCTTCCCCAACATCCGGATAATCCTGCTCCTGTTGCCGGCGCTTGTTCATCTCGAATTCAGCCATCTGGGGCGGTAGTTGCGTGATGTCGGTGCGCTGCTCCACCGCTTCCTGCTGCAAGAGCGGTGTGACCACAGTCGGCGTGGCGAGCGGCTGCTGCCATTCGGTGGCGACGGGGTGCGATGTGTAGCGCTCTTCTTCCTGAATTTTCTGGTTGTCTCTCTGGTTCATGAGTAGCCGGTCGGCACGGGCGTCGAGGTTGTCGCGCGGAAAAATGTCCTCGTATTGGCTGCCGAACTGAGTACCGTTGCGCCAGTCTGCCGGCGACGCTTCCTCGCGAACGTATGTCTCGGTGGGACTAGAGCGTCCGTGCATGTCGGAGCGCTCTTCCCGCTGGAAACCCTGCTCCTGCTCCATACGCCGGACCGGTTCGATTGATGTGGTTTTCTTCTTGTACAAGAATTCCGGCTCATCGGCATTCATTTTTCTCTGCATATTCATCGAGTCCATTCTAAATAAAATTACAAGATTCAGAACACGTATTAAGACGTAAGAATACGTATTAAGTAAGTAAGAACACGTAATAAGACGTCCACGTATTAAGAAAAGTAAGAAGAATTAACTATTAAGTAGTGTACCAGCGCTTGCAATTATTGCTATTTGGGTGGCTATTGCCAATAAAGGTATAGGAGAATAAAATACAAAAAAACAAAGAAAGGAATGGATTTAAACGCAGGCAATACAATTTGCAGGACCATATTAAAGATTGCCGGTAATCAGAGAAGAATGGACTTACTTGACAGTGGAATGATAATGTTCAAAATCCAAAAGATCCAAGATCGTTTTCAATAAAATTGTGTTACTTCAAAAATAATGAAATGTCTGGGTTTTTCCTGGTAGTAGCGTGCAGCTGGCTTTATATAATTTTGAGCGCGCATTGCTGGCCTTGTCGGTCGAGTGGCGACCGGTATTTCCCATGAATTATTACACCATAGGCGAGGGCTGCGTTGCGTCTAGCTGCCTGATGCCGGTACAAATTCCACGGAGTAGAGAATACGCCGACAACCGATCGATAGCCTGCCCAGCTAGCTTGTCTCTGCAGTTTGCACGCTGCAGAGGCATGAAAGCATTTTAAACAATGCGCGTACACGTAGCGGATTTTACTGCAACTTGATGCCGGCGAGTAAGTCATTTGGGTAAAAAACCACTGTTCAGGCATCGCGCTTGCATCAGACCTGTGCAGTGTGCAGTAACGGAAAATTTATCAGCGGTTGAGTTGCAAGTTACAGGGAACGTGCGAGTTACGCTATTAATGCACGTAAACCGAGTTTTCAGTGTGTATCGTGAGTTGCGCTACCATAGATGCCAATTATACGAGTACAGATTTTATGCCAGTTGCGTTGGAATTTAGTTTTTATTGTTTCTAAGTTACGCGGAATCTCGATAACTGAAAAGTAATTCAAATGAAGTTAAATAGTTTAAAATAGCAGCACAGGTCGGAACTGAAACCATCGAAGATTTAACCACAGCTGGGAAATCCCTCTTGAATCTGTGGCTTGCGGACTGACGATATGACGGGAATTACCCACGGCTATACAGACTAGTCTCTGTAATTCAAGCCACTCGATGCCACTGGCGCGAGTAGCATTCATGAAAAAGTTGTGCAACGCTGAATGATGCTACAGATTTGCATTACCGCACTAAAAAACCGTTCTCACTTATACAATTTACCGCAGTGCACTTAATAACAATTAACTGGACTGAATACTGTTAATTATACGGTCACTACCATAGCTCTGCAACAAAATGTATGAATGCAATGCAACGCGATGCTTTGGTGACGATGTTGGCACACATATCAAGGAAACGTTCAGATACAGTAAATAATTTAGAGTGTTTGCGCGTGCGAAAAATAGTAAAGAATTACATTACAGGTACCCCATTAATCAACATGATAGCACAAACCCACATACTCTCTACCGGTACATGTGCATACGTCGTACCTCACCGCCTCCTAATTTTTGCTTAAAGTTACATTACAAGCGCACTGGAAAATGAGACAAGAGTTCGATTAACAATTACCTTGCCGGTAATTAAGCAGTAAGTAACTAACTGAAATCTCATAAACCGACCGGATGTTTTTCCGTTGTGGGCAAATGCTGATCATGTAATCTGGCGAATTCATTTCGATGCGTAATCTGATGTCGAAGTATTCGAAATCCCGATCTCGTTATACAGTATCAATGAATGTCTCGATAGCGCTGAACGCAAAGATCATTGCACTGGCATGACGTTGTATTGTATAGCCGGCGAGTGATCTGAATTTTGAAGTATGCTTTGGCTGGCTCTGTTCACTAAACTTTCACTGAAGCTTAAGATCTGACGTTTATTAATTTATATAATTATTATCATGCTCTTGCTTGGGAATTTCATTAGCGATCTATGAGCAAGTCCTTAGCTTGATTTAGGAAAGTATGTACGCAGTACGGCAAATCCGCAAATGTACGAGAAAAATGCACATGCTTTTTAAGTGTGGCAGAATCGTACGAGTGTTTTAGTTGTACAAGTTCATGCACATACGATATCCAAGATAAATGAATTATAAATGCTGGATAAAAATTAAAGAGTACTTGCTAAGAGAAATTAAGAGGCAAGCTAGCAGCCTGCGGCTAAATAACATTAGTCGTGATGAGTTTTTGATTGTACATGGCAACAAGATTCTGGTTCCGGTGGGTTGAACAGGCGGGACTCCTGGTTGTTCGGTCGCGATAAACTCTTACATATTATTTAATTAAAATTCTTGGCGTGCGGTTTACCGCTTTAAATTCTGCTTTTTCATTATGTAATGCGCTTTGCTTCAAAATCCATTTAGGTACGTACCAGACACTCCGTACGAGACACTCCGTGTGCTGTACACGAAAATGACGAATATCTGACTGATGATAAAAATATCGGGCTTCTTAGGTAATGATAAATTCAGATCAGAGTCTGCATGAGCTTTGCTATTAAAATTTCGATCAACTGATGAATGCTTCTGGCTGACCGATAGGTGATAGGGAACGTCGATCTTCCTTTAACTGTAGTGTCATGTTATGGCTGCCAAACTATTTGGCGCTGCTCAAACTGAATATCCACATGAGCGGATCAAAGATCATCTGCAGCGAATACAACAAGGACACCGTAGTAAACACCACACCCGGCAAACTGATGTGGAGGAACAATCCAATGAAGAAAAACGTCTGCGCCGGCGCCCAGCACACCACCACACTGATCGACGTCAGCGTTAAGATGACGAACGGTCTAACGCTCTTAATCGGGCGCGCTGGTTGAACAACAGCTGTTGGCGGATTCTGCTTCGTAGCGCCATCCTGTGGACTAGGATTGGTCGCTGGTGTCGATTTCGTTATGCTAACCTGAACGCTGCGATTAGCATGCCTCTTCTTCCACCGCTTAACAATAATAAACACATACGCCACCATGACCACCACCATCGGGAGAATGCGGTTCAGGACTTCATCGGCTTTGTTAAAATCCAGAGACTTGGTAGAAATGTGCCCACAGTCTTGGTACTTTGCGTAAACAGCGGGATAGTACAGGAGAGAATCGACTAAAAATGGCGGAAAATTCAAAACGTGAACGTACACGATCGCTCCCAGACAGATATAAACGGCCAGGCGTTTGGTGTGGCGTTCGCGGTAAGAGATGGGGAAGGTAACGGCCCATACCCGGTTGAGGGAGATGAGGACGTGGAAGAGGACCGGCATGACGCTGCTGACTTTGTTGTACAAGTACACAACGCACACAGGATAACCGGCGGCTGGATAGATCCCGTATAGTTCATCCAGGATTCCCATGGGACGTGAGGTAAGGATGTAGAAGAGGTTGGAGAGGAACAACGCCAGCAGGTATACACTAAAGTGGTTGATGTAGGCCGGGATGTAGTAGTGGACGAGAAGGACGGCGGCGTTAAGGAGCACGGAGAAGATGGAGATGAGCAGCTTCAGGGTGACGAGCGGCGTCCATCCTGTGGCGGAACGGCGGAGGGTCACGTATGTGGAATCTTGAGCGGCCCAGCTAAGCGAGTGATTGGTTGTTGTGTTGGGGAAGGTTGTATCGTTGAAATGATACATTCTTAAGCAATACGGAAGAAAGCTGTAGATCTAAACTTTCGACGAAACCGTTCAGGACAGTAAAGGTCTTCTTAGTACCCTGTAACTGAAAATCCGATGACACATCAAGACAGCACTGCAATGTTTTGTTACGTGGATCACAAGTTCAGACTACTTGGGTTCAGTCATGAAACCTTAATAATAACGTGCGCAGAATACAATATGGCTGATTAAATAATTGCAGCGAATCGCATGTTATTAAACTGGAGAATGCTGATTACTGTTAGGTTGCGCCTTATGGAGTTCTAATTAAAAATTAAAATGGCCGAAATATCGTGTTTCTGCTTTTAGACAGGTGAACAAACAGATGATTAAGGGTGACAGGTGTGGCTGTGATTCTTGTGCTGCATGCGCAGCTCACTTGGACTCGAAACCTTATCACCTGACAGTAACAAAAGCATTTTAGTCTTCCTATTATGCGAATTCAATCAGGGTGTTCTGACCTTAGTTGCACCGCAACACAAGTAACAAAGTTATTTCAGGGTGTGGAACAACCGGGATCGCTGCTTCAGCATCTCTTCGATGTTTATCAAAATGAATGCTCTCCCGGAATAACTTCGTAAAACAAACAATCGTCACACAAATTTCCCCGCATCGGCTCACAAGAAAAATGATTTTCTACGTGTACTTGCTATCGTTAGGCAAATATTATGACGGCTCAGAAAGTTTATTTCATAGCAAATCGTGGCACGAAAAAGTACAGGACAACGTGGTACGGCGAAGTGATATCATCAAATTTTTTTGAAACACAGCGCTTGGTTTGTAAAATAATTTAGCGTAAGCATTGGCAATGCAAAAAACAATGAAGTCTTTTATTTTACAAACGATGTTTTTGATTTACGCAAACTAAATACCCACATCAGCGGATCGAATATCATTTGCAACGAGTACAGCATGTAAACAGCGGTGAATGCAGTTCCTGATAGGTTAATGCGCACGAACAGGGCGAGAAAGAAGGCCGCCTGCACTGGAACCCAGCAAACCAGCACGCTGACGGACGTCAACGTTAACACTACGAACGGCTTAACGGATCGTTGCAGCCCGGTAGAGGACGCTGACGGTAGATGGCTCGCCGCCGGCGTGTTCCGGGAAAGCTCTTCGGGTATCGGTACCGAGTGTTTTGCACCGACTGTACCTTTCCTGTGACGCTTGACAAGAATAAACACATAGGCCACCAAGACAATCAGCATGGGAACGATTCGATTCAGCATCTCGTCGACCTTGAGGAAATCCATAAAGGTGATGGAGAGATGCACGCAGTCGTGATATTTGGCATAGACAGCCGGATAATGTAGTAGTATATCTACCAAATATGGCGGCACATTGACGATCAGCACGTACACCACGGTGCCCAAACAGATGTACACCGCCAGACGCTTGGTATGACGCTGACGGTAGGACACCGGGAAGGCCACGGCCCACACTCGGTTCAGAGAAATGAGGGTGTGGAAGAACACCGGCGGGATACTGCTGACACGGGTGTATTGGTACAGGGCGCACACCGAATAACCTGTATGAACAAAAAGCGATACTGTAGCGGCTCGATTAAGTTGCACCACAGAGTTTATGTACGGCAAAACAGCACAGATGCAGCGTGTGCATGCTTATGCGCTCGCAACCATGAGCAGTGCACACTTTCCAAGTGCTGATTTCCCGTGCACAAACTCTGTGGTGCCACTTAATCGAGCCGCTACAGTACATAAAGGGCATGGCGCCGTTAAATGGCTGCCCTCGGTTTTTGGCTCATTCAGTGACATTCTATCGTCCCTATGGAGCGGATTTAATATCGGTTTTGTTAGTTCTATACAAAATCTTCCAATTGTTTGGTAAAATTATGGGCAGCGTTTCGGTAGTTAAACCGGTAAATGCGAATAATTAATGACGTGCACCGCAAGTCAGGTTATTAATTTTATTGTCCACTCCTCTTCTTGAACCTTCGCCGTGAAGGCGCAGTACTACGAAAATGATGATACTGAACCAGAGAGCCACTTTCACGGCGTTTTTATTCCAGTTTTAAAATCAAGAAAAGAATAATTTAGAAAGGGATATTTTAAACAAATCAAAAATTTGATGTAAAATGCTCTGAATCTGTACACAGTCGCTTCTTTGCATGAGAGCAAAATCAACCAACCGGCAGCCGGATATATATTGTACACCTCCTCCAGGGTTCCGATAGGACGCGTGGTCAGGATGTAGAAAATGTTGGAGATGTACAGTGCCAAAAGATAAATGCTAAATGGATTGACGTAGGCGGGGATACGGTAATGGATGTACAGTACACCAGCGTTCAGAATAACGGATAAAATAGAGATGATAAGTTTACAGGTGACCAAAGGCGTCCAGCCGCCATCCACATTGCGAAGGAGCTTGGTTAGGTTGTGAGACTCACGAATAGTAATATGAAGGCTCACTGCGTAACTTGCGTTGTCTGAATAATTCATACCGTTTCTTGTTAGAGACAAAATGTCTTAAGAAAAAGAAGGGAATTGCTCTATTCATGCAGAACACATGCTCCCGTAAACGAAATTTCTGGAATCTTGGAGGCGTGCGAGATCTACAAGTATATTTCTGTATAACGTTTCTGGGAAGCGCTGACTGTTGCTTCGAAAATAAGTCAAATGTGATCAAATTAGCAAGCGCTCATTTTCCGAATTTCTACTCTTGCTCACGTTCTAGGCAATGCTAAGCCGGCTGTGGAAAATTTAGCATGACATCCAATCCGATACGGGTTGTGACATCAAAGTCGCTTAATCGGTTGCGATTTCGGGTTCCAAGAAAGCAGTTACATACTGGAGCAACGGGAGATTATTCCATATCCGCAGTTTAACTATGCGGATGCCAGCATCAACGGCAGATAGCGATGACGGTTGCTGTGATGGTAGCGACTCGCTTGATAACGCTTTAAGGTCATGCCATAATTAACCCGTACCCGGGGCATCCGTGTTACAAGCTCACCTTATAATTTGTTTGCTGGATAGGTGACACCCATCTCTGCTGCATTACTTCCTGTTTTTCTTGAGCCAGCGCAAGAACGTGCACAGCGACGTCGCGCTTTGCGAGAAAAGCTGAATACTGGCACTGAATATGGTGTTAACGTCCATTTTTAACTGCAGTACTTGTACAGAGTGTCATGAGTTGTGTTGTCAGTATTAGGGAAAGCACCATCATAAAAACGGAACACTTTTGCTGGCGGTGATCGCATTGAGGCGAGCACATTGTTAAACTGTACATCTCGGCACAATGAGCGCACAACCCAACCACATGGCAACTGAGCAGCAGCGCAATCTGGTTTGGTTGATTCAAGGGCGATAACGTGGTAGATTGTTGCTCTATCAGCTCAATTTGCATTACAAACACAAGATATGAGACAAACATGAGAAAAGTGCACGATTCTCCTGGCGCGTGCAAAACGCTTACCAGCATTTTATTTGACCGTTCAATTTTTATAAGGTACCGAATTGAGAAAGTCAATCAAACAACAGAACCAAAAAGAAAAACGCTCGCCGCCTGACCCAGAGGGTTCTTTGACGAAAGTTAGCTCGAGGATTTTGTTTGCTTTAGCCAGTCGTTGGCTTATTTCTTCAGCCCAAAATTTCCACGCAATGACGATGGACCATGCAGCGTGACCGTGCAAACCGCCTATCGGAATAGCAGTAATTTGGTGTAATAAGCCGCTAATCACTGAAATTTATTAAGAAAGTCAACATTAGTTACCGGAATGTGAAAATTTTCGTTGACACGCCTATGTGGAGGTAAAAGTCTCTTATTCATGGCTCTATGGTACGTATATTCACACCCGTCTGTGATTACATCTCATTGAAGAATGTTTCAGAAGTGAGTTCTTTGTCTCACAGTGACAGCGAGCGAACAAATGACAATGACAGCGAACGACAGAAAATTACGTAAGAGCCGTAACCGAAGTAAATACTCATAGATTAAGGTGTTTGCGACTTTTTGGAAACTTTACGCGTACGTTTCAGGCGACTGTATTTTATCGGGGTTTATTAGCGGCTATATTAACCGCGTTCGCTGTATTAGCCTATATACAGCGCTTACTTATCCCATGATGCGGAATGCACTGTGGAGCCATAGTCGGCTGTATTATCCCGGTAACGCAAGGCCCAACTGCTCGAATAGGTATGAGCAGGCTAACCTTTCGAAACCAAACACCAATCATTTGTTCATCCAGGACACAACGACGAAGTAAATCTACCAGTGATCCACGGCCATACGAAGAGGTAAGGTCGATGCAAAGCGTTTGCGTTTGGATGTCACCGAAACGTTTTTTTCTGAAATGTACTAGCCGGGTATTTTTGTTTTCTTTAGCCGGGACGATGCCCGTTTGTGCTTATAAATATATACTTCGGATATTTCGTCCCGGCATGGGACGCAGGCGACCCAGCAGATGCACTAATCAAACATGTATCTTCATATGCAAATCTTTGTTGTACTGTACGCTCGGCTACTTCCAGTTGCTGATTATTTGCAGGTATTACAAATTATTTTGAAGTAATAACAGGCACTAATATTTTGACATCACGAATTATTCGCAAGTGAATGTAGCCAAAGAAACAGCACATCTATTATGGGATCGTTCTACATTACCTTTAATGCTGTAGACATTGTTGGCGTCAATGACATACAGGACGATGAAGAGGACAATGAAGTGTGAAAAAAATGTGACTGTAGCCTGTAGACAACAGCGATGAATAGGGTGGAAATTTGGCGTAATTACAGCACACTGAACCCGTGGATCGTATTTATTGTGGCGTGAGTTTTAGCTTTCCCCAAATGTTTCAACCAGTTTCCTATACAACTAAAGAGAGGGAAACGAAAAAACAACCTGCTCAAGAAATCAGTTACGGTCCACCAACAAGAAACCTTAATAGCTTCGGTTCATAACGCAGCAGTTGGCAAGTATTGGCAGGTCAAGAGTGAAGCGCCGAAAAGCCAGGAAGAGTACTATGCATATGGGAAACCTCGTTTCGTTTGGCGTAAGCTGCGAAATATGTTTCATTTGCATTGAGTACGAAGGGGTTTCTATGGAATTTTAGGATTGCAATGTACCTGTTTATTATTTTTACATTTTTTTTCAAAAAAAAGTAAGGAGCGCAAGTTTTCTATCGCTAGGCCCATATCTTTACGGTCTTACCTGCCAAAAATTTGTCTTTACATTGATTTAAAATAGGTGGTTTATTAGATTAATTTTACTAATATGATCCAGGCACGCTGCGGTCATCGAGCTAGCCCCATCTAAGCGAGACAGTGGTATATGGCTAATTTCCTGTCACGTTCAGTTTATACGCGCACAATGTTGACGCGATACATGCCTGGCAAAATTTTTAACGGAAGCGCGTTAGTGCATCTTCCACTGCTCTGTAGATACGTAATTTGTTGCAATTACCGATCAGGTAAAAGATAAACCAAATTACTAACTCGTTTAGATGGTTATACAAACCACGGAGTCGATAGAAGGAATTGGAGGACAATAAATACCGCAGAGAAACCTATAACAATTATAGAAAACCGGCACAGAATTAGTTATGACTTATGATGGACGTTTAACGACCGATGACAATCCACCCACGCCGCTTTGCGTGTAACGGCTGAGTTACCGAACAAAGTTAGGACATTATTCTGTTACCATCGGACCGGCAGACAAATAGGCCAACCGATCAGAATTTTGGTTGTCAACGTCGACTTTCGCCTTGGCCACAAGACAAACGGTTCTTCCAGTTGTAATTGGATAACCGATATGTGCGCCATCTGTGTCGCTCTAACTCTGATAATGTAAGGCGGAAAACATTAAATGCTTTGTTTTAATGCACACTCCGCCAACAAGCTTTTCTCTATTCGAACACAGTGTTGGCGATTAACGTATTGCATATTGCTGAACTCTGTTTGGTGATTTTATTGTTCAGTTTTTCAACCGCATACAAACAGTACTGCCTTCCTTCTGCTTCATTTGCATGCACAGAAACCTACTTGGCTGCGCTTTAAGCAATATTGTTAGACGGAAAGAGAATATTGTCGTAAACTGTAGCCTATGCACCGTATCGGCTGACAAGATTAATCCCCTGTGAGTCACAGGGGATTAATCTTGTCAGCCTGTGACGGTTGCTCGATTAATTTCTTGCCGGTGTTGTGTGGACACAATATAAAACACTTGATGATACAGTGGAGGAAATTAAATTGATCTTTGCCGGTGTGGATGTGTATTGATCGCCGGTGCGCATTTAATCAATTTTGCCGCTGCTTAAAAAATAGTCGTGTACAGAGAAATCTGGGACCAGTCAGCAGTCGTTTTATTGCGACGGGCGTAGGTAATTTGCAGAAAGTCCCGGTAAACAGCTTCCGTTACCTGCAATTTGTGTCTTTACCGACGCGTTGCTCCGTCGGAATGCTAATAGTAAATAGCAATTTTGCACTGGGAATCTGCAGCAATTTTGCACGACTGCAGCGGCAAATTACTGTTTTGAAGTTATAGTTATCCTTGAAGTACCGCTGCTGTTGAGCATTTTTGTGAATGAAACAGGAACGGAAATGTGGTTGTATCGAGAAACTTTCTACTTTACTTAGATTTTGTTCCACATGTTGGTTGTGTTTAACGTGGTGGGAGGATGATGATTCCCATAGGAAACGATAGTTGGGAAAATGGAACAGCGGAGTTGCCAGTGTTCTATCTGGAAGAACACACCGGTCTGCGTGTACTGACCGCGTTGCTCTTGTCCATCAGTGCGGCGGTTGGATCATTCGGAAATCTGCTTGTACGTACGGGTACCTATAGTCTTAATTAGCCCAGGCACACATAAAAATGTAATTTAAATACTAAACCTAGAACAAAAATTCTCCATTTGTTCCAGTATGAACATGTGTAGACAGCAGAAAAGAAATTAATATTTTTAAAACTTTAAAATTTCTAAAAGCAACTAAATTTTTATAAAATAAAAGTAGCATCCTTCACGTCCGAGAAAATCGATTGAATGTTGGTTGATATTTACTATTTAAATAATTTTCTTTATTTTTGCATTTGTTTTGTTGAATTTTAAAATGCTTTGATTTTAAATTCTGCCAGAAACATATATGTTTTTGGCAGTCCGGCTATAAATTCAGCCCATCTCCATGTCACGCTGAACGGTGCTGTAATTATAGAAACGTACGAACGGTCAGCTTTGCTTGGGCACGGGCTGAATTTTTATCCGAATGTGTGCTTGTTTCCAGCCACTAACGTAGGTTGCTTCTGGGAATGAAATTTTCACCGGAAGTCGGCAACGCTTATTACACGTGTCTCCCTTAATTTGTGATGAATCTGAAGAGTTAGACGTAGGCACATTCCTCGTATTCCTCGTATTCCCAAGATTATTCCTCGTATTCCCAATTCTGTACGAAAACAGCATCGTGCCGGCGTCATTTATCAATGGCGTTAATTGGCCTAGATGAACCACTTACCGGATTTATGAACCGACAATCATCACACCCACTGGCAATTTTAATAAAATTAATTGACGAGCTAGAATAAGAACGGTTTCTATGCAAAGCTTCGTTGCCCTTTTGTAAAAAACCTTTCAACCGCCCTTCACTTCCAATAAAAATCGATTAAAGGATCGTTATTGTAGTTTCTGACTTGAACTGATAAAGCCGTTGTTCTCGGCAACACGCTTATAACATCACATGTACGTAGTTACAGAATTTTTTGCTAGTTATGTCGACTGAACATAACGTCAACACTCTGTTTTTATATTGTTGGTGAAGACCAACCAGTTTTATATGTTGACATCTTAAATATATTTTTCCTATTTTTAGGTGATTGTTGTCATCCTGCGGATAAAGGTAATATCAGCGCGGCAATGACCTGGCAAGGTCATGTGTAATTTGGTTTGTTTTATGCACACCAGACACTGCGAACGTGCGGCAACTACTTTGTCCTCAATCTGGCCCTGGCTGACCTTATCGTCACGATGCTCATTGATCCCTTCAACGTTGTCGGTGAGCTGCAAAATTATTATCGATAAAATTACAGCTAATTTTGGAGAAACCTTTAACGATTGCCGATCGAATACCGGAACTAGGTTTTTCACCCACAAAATAAGAATCCCGTTTACTTAAGATTGTATTTGCCGTTGGACGAAATTTCTGCAGGTTGCGACATTGGCGGATTGCGCCAATAAACAAATTATTAACCGCCTTCTTAAAACTAATGAAATTAATATGACAAAGATAAGAATTGTTTGATATTATGAAATACCAAAGATGAACTATTCTTATTTAATAAAATAATTAAAAATGTCCGGAAAGTCCAGTCAGGTGTTCATTTTTGCTCTTTATTTTAATAGTTTCGCTCTTTCGCTGAGAAAGGCATTTGTAACTTTAATTTGTTATCATTGAACAGTTTAGCTAAGAATTTATGCACCATAACTGATTGTATACATAAAAAGAGGACATCGTTAAAATTACCCGAAGTGCGCCAAGGAAAGAATTATGTTTTAGGTACGGTGGCAGGTCGCTCTGTTCTCGTCCACAACCCCAGCCTGTGCGAGTGGATTGCCGCTTTCTGTGCCCCGGCCTGTATGGGATCCATGTGGAACATGTGCGCCATAAGTTTGAACCGGTGACTATGCACTTTCGCTGTTCATCAATAAATTTTCCTAGAAAAATGCAGCTAATTAATGGTCATTACGGCAGGTACGTTCTCATCTGTCATCACGCAAAATACGCGCGCATCTTCACCCAGGCCAACACTATTCTCATGTGTGTCGGCATATGGATTTTGTGCCATTTGTTCCATCTTCCCAACCATGTCGGTACGTTATAAATATTCGGCGCCCTCATGACAACGCATGTTTTCGTTTAGCTGCAATTCATTGTAAATAATAACCACATAAAAATGTGGGTGATTATGTAAAACTTCAATAGATGCTTTTTACTTATCCATTCGGGAAATTTACTATCGTCAGTTGTGCTTAATTTAGGGTGGGGCATGAGTCGTTTCCAGTCGGATTACTATCTCTGCTCTTTCGACATGTAAGTAAATCCAAGAAGCCTTTCTCCTCATCAGCATTAAACACTGGGTAATGACAATCGACGTCTGCTTGATATTTTTCAGGGAACTGCATTCCTACGCTATTTTCTATAGTAAGCACAAACTCGGTCACGCATTACCGTTGGCATTATGTAAACATTACTGTGTGAACCACAGTCATCACCGGTGTGGTGATTCCCTTGCTGGGCGTCCTGGTCGGCTACGCCGGCATCTTCCGCCGAGTGCGCACCGTCCGCACGCAGATGAAACTGTACAAATCCGGATCCATCTCCGAGCCGGGCAAACAGACCCGCCCGCGGCATTCCGATTTCACGCAGGACGACATTAAGCTGGTGAAGACGTTGTTCGAAGCCTTCGCGGTGTTCCTGGCGTGCTGGTATATCTTAGCCGTTTCTAAGTAAAACGGCATGTAAAATATTCCCAAATATTCCTCTGCGTTGTTCCGATGTTTTACGCAATAGAAGCGCTTTCGCTACATAAAGTTGCGTAAGAAATGGTCAGGTGTATTGTAAGATCCCCTTTACTGCGCGGCAACTTACAGTACGGCAATTAATCATTAATGACAGTCAGCATTTGCGCATATCAAACAAACCTTTTTTATTCAGACATCGTTGCCGAATGCGCTTTTTTTATTGTTTTTTTAGTAATTTAATCTGGGATTAATTTTCTTAGCAGTTACAATATATGTCTGTTTAGTCCTAGAAAATAACATTTTGTTTAGACTAATGCGAGCAGAAGTTTTGTGGTAATTGCTTATTTTGAGAAGCTGCTGATGTTCGAGCAAAACGTCTTAATACGGAAAACGTAAAAGTACATAATAATTTTCTTACATATTTATACACTCATTTTACTCTCTGCAGGGCACTGTTTGCCATACTGGTTCTAGCGCACCAGCCCCGCAGCGTACCGGGCTGGGTGTACGTCATCGCCATCATTATGGCGCACGGGAACTCCGCCGTTAATCCGGTCATCTACGGGATGAGTAACGATAAATTCCGCGAAGGCTACAAGATCATCCTGGGGATGCGATCGCTCCGTGTGCTACCAGGTGATACCAAAGCCGAACCGACAGACACCAAGACTAACTTCCATTTACGCCGGCAGAAGTCAATAGCGTCGCAGTCGCAACCGTCTAAAAGCAGTAAATAGCGATATTAGAGACAATATGCTGTTTCTCAAATAAGTAACTGCACCGGTGATTTTTTCTTCGGATTAGTATATCGTTGGAGTGCGTAATTCAAGTTCGTTTTCTTATAAAATGCGCTTTATTAATCCGTTACTCGGTGTTATTCCATAAGTACTCATACCTAGTGCCAGTGCGTTGCCATTCTGCCATTTATCAACTGCTAAGCTGAGCTAAATTTTCTGCACAGTACGTCTGATATTTGTGCGAACATGCGGAAGAAATACTGTTCTTGTGAGCGCTTATATAGGAGCCAAAGATAAGTAAATAATTCTATCCTCTCTCCTGATGGCAGAGATCACGTCTTTTCAACCACTATAAACAAGGTCTTCGCAACAATGTCAGCAGGATGCCCCTCCGTTCGTCCAACATTGCCGCCAGTCGGATCATTGTACAGGCTCTGTTACCTTGTGCACTGTTCCTTCTTAATCGGTCATATAGACAAGCATTTTTTTTCATTGGTAATAAACAACGTCAACAGCGGTTGAATTTTGTGTTTGTGTCATATCAAAATGTGGATGGAAGTTAATCAGGTATTCTTTAGTGTATTACCAGAGTTATCCAACATGAAACTTGTGTGTAACTTATGACAACTGCCAAGCTCAAATCTTCCACAATCTACTTCTACAGAAGGACGTGTAATGTTTCAACGAATGTTGCAGATAATCCACTGCACATTTTCACAGAAAAATATTAAAATTGATTACTGTGAATGATCTGAATGGGCAGTTATTATGGACCTAAGAAGGCATCCGATGAGGGATCTGCTAATATGAAATTCCAATCATATAAGGAATGTGCCATTCCGTTTGAACTGGCTTTGGCGTGGTCCTTGCTAATAAAACAAAACTTTATAAATGCACAGATTTTTATGCTATTAGCACGACTTGTGGTAACTTCTATTTGCTCAATACATTTGTAATAGTACGAAGAAAAATATATTTCAACATTCTCAATATTTTATTACCAAGTCTGCTATGCAAATTACCGAAGTGGCTATTTTACCCCAGTCTTTGTGGCAAAATAGCTTTTGGCTATTTTGCCCCAGTATGCGAGGCAAAATAGCCTTTTGCTATTTTGCCCCACACTGAGTTCAAATAGCTTTTAGCTATTTTGCCTCAGTATTGGCGGCTAAATAGCCTTCTGCTATTTTGCCCCAGTTGTGTTGCATTAGCCTTTTTGAATTTTGGCGCAGTCGTTGGCAGAATATCTCGTTAGCTAACTCGCGGCAGTATGAATATGCATCTCATCTAGAGGAGGCGATCTAGCACGCTGTTGTGTGTCTGGGTGCCTTTGTTGGAGATAAAAAGGGATGGGCCAGGGGACACTGTCATCCAGTGTCATGCGGACAACAACTGAAATATGGGCGGCTCGGCACCTTGTTTGATGCTTTGGCGTAATAAAAACGATTCCCAAATGCTTTAAAACTGTTGAATCAAGTTAGCTGCCGCGCGCTCTCAAACCCAGTCTTCTATGTAAGAATGTGACGTAGCCCATTTTGCGACTAAGCTGGACTGTCGTACACTGGACTGCACACCATGGCTTAGGAATTCTGAGTATGAGAGGGGCGACTGCTTAATCTTTAACTGTATGTACAGCGAGGAAAGTGTAAACGCAGTGTCTTCCGCTATACACCAACACAGGTTTTTTGTTTCTCTGTGTACCTCTTTAGACAGTAGACATACACTACACCACTTCTATAGGCATCCTCTACATTACTTCGTTTTAAGTCAGACAAAAACTATAAGCATCTATTTCCTTTTAAACTTGCAGGTTTATTCTCAAGCAGTACCTACTTTCTGCTCCTTCCATTTGGGCATAAGCAGTTTATTTTTTCATTAACAGTTTTTAACAGCGCGGCCGCAGTTGTTGATAATTTGAAAATCAAGCAAAAATTTGAAATCGCCCATTTCTAAATCGAAAATTGTTTCACGAAATGGAAGCAAAAAGAAGCAATATGCCTGTACGAGACCAAACATCCAGAAAGATTCCATGTAGCGCACTGCATCACCGTGATGGTGGAATCCGAACACCGTACAACCTCAGAAAAGGAAACCGCTCCATAATCAAGAGGAGGGAAGAAAAAAGTTGACGGAACCACCTTTGCTTGGAAGCTTAATATATTGTGGACATTTTTATTTATCTTAATTTTTCTGATTTGTTCGATACTCGTACTACTGGCGCTTATAAGCATGACTTTTACCGTGTTAATTTTGATTAAGCACTCTTTTTTGCCTGTCTGTATTTCTGTGCATTTACTGTTTGGCCCGGTTTAAAACCTCACGCTAATATGTCACCCTAACCGAAAATCGGATACCTGCTCCGCGCTGGATATAATAAAAAATAATAGCAAGTGACATGAAGTCGACATAAAGAGTGCAAGGCAAGGGAACTGTACAAAGCTATAAGTTGATTTACCCCCTCCATTATAACGACGCACCCGTCTAGATACCTATAGACGACTAGAGGTACACAGTCCAAAGTGGTAATTGCGACAACGTCGAAAGGTCAGATGATTCTGTCTGCGCTGAGTTTGTGTACTTCTGTCTGCCGATCCTCTAATTTTAACGGAGTAAAAGATGGAAAGTAAAGCGCGCTACCGGTTGCTTTATCCTGCCGGTTCGGTTGACGATTCTCTGCGAAAGCAGACAACGGAGTGATACGAGCGATCAAAACGCATCACGACCTTACTTGGTCGGACAGCAGACCGTCGTCACCATCATTTCCGCAACCGGACCGGAAGGTAGACCGCTTTCGGAAGACTCAACCGACAGTCATCCGATGGCTGAGCAACATAGGCTCACAGCCAACCGAACTCAAAAATCAAGACGGAGCGAGTCGACCGACCAAACCGACGGATACGGCCGACCAACGTCAACCGACCGCACAGGTCGAAGACGGTAATACATCTCAAGTCGGACATGAAGACGAAATGGCCGTAGAAAATGAGGACTATGACTCGGACGGCTCGGACGTACAAAGCACGAACGACTCGGCGAACACAGACTCCGATAACCGTCGGAGGAATCCGACGAAGAATTCGATCAGTCAGTCCGACACTGCAAGACGGACAAACCAAGAAAAGACGATTCGGACGAATCGTCATCGGAGGATGAAGAACCGACCTTCGACGTCTGGCTAACTACAGCATTGCGGTCTATAGTTCACACAGAACTCATAGTCGAGGATTTACCGGAACAAACCGAACAGTATAAGCCGGCGCACCCCAAGTAACAAGCCGAACACAAACCGTCTGAAATCCCAAGAGAATCGTGAGGTGGTAAAACAAAGAAAGACGATCTCCAACCTCCGACGATGGTCATTTATTCAGCAGTTGTTGACCGAAAAACCCACCTCGGTTAATTTGAACGACCAACAGAAGTCAGCGCATTTCAACCGATGGAAGGCACGGATTGCGAAAGTCAAGACGATCGAAGAGTTAAACCTGGGCAACAAAAGCCCAGAAGTTTACCATCTGAAGCTGGACCCATTCATTGACTCTAAGCCGTTAGACCGACAGGTGGTCTTTAACAGCGAGTGAGTATCCCTCACACCATACTCAACGTGTTCTATTAAGGTACGGACGGCCAAACCGATGGACCCTATGAGGCATATTCACTTTGTCACCCTAAGGCGAAAAGTCCCACCTGTCCGGCCAATCGAAGCCAGGATTGAAATTCGACCTCAGATAGACACGGCCTGGATAAACATCCAGAATACGACCCATCTACCGAAGATATTGAAGAAAGGCGTACGACTTGGCCACATGCAATACAGCGATATATACGAACTGGATGTCGACAACGAGCATGTTATCTGGGAACTACCATTTGGAGTAGCCAAAACATGGCTGGCCAAGCCAAAGCCAAGACCTCGAGATTATGAGGCAACACGAGTTCGATATCAACAAAAAGTCAAACTCCTACCTCGAGCCGTAACGATGGTACAAGTCGTCATGGATGGACCAGTATCCATCGGACGAAAACTGATGTACCTGGGTTAATCCGACCCCAAACGAGACGGAGTCGAGATGGTGTACGGTGTAACCAAACACGACGGGAAACGATTCACCGTCATGGTAGCAAACCATACTCAGCGTGAGTTCACCTAACGCAGAAGTGCACCGATGGGTCGAGTCGAACCATTGGAAATGATGACGGACGATCAGAAAATAATCGAAGCACGAGTCAACGAAACCCAAGTGGAGAAGGAAGACGCGGAATTCCAAGAGGAGCAACGGCATGAACTTCCGAAATAACTTGACCGATGAGCAACTCGCCAACTTAAGGCAGTTGCATGGGAATACCGGACAGAATTCCCGACCTCGAAGAAACCGTACGGCGGCGTCAAAGGGGTACCACATAACATTGACGTCAAAGGTGCACCAACAAATAAAAAGAAACCGAGCATGCTTCGAAAACTTGTACGAGTCCATTTTTCGAACCACGCTCCCAGCTACATGATACAAGTGGAGATAAACCGAAAAAGAAGAGAGGAAGAAAAAGGAAAGAGGACAAAGATTTCGAAACAGAAGTTACAATAAAGTTGAACGCAGAAGTTGGGAATTTGACAGAAAGGTTACCAGAAAGTGGCGCCAAGGATTCAGGCTTCAATGTAGCAGACCGCAGTACGAACGAATTTTTCGAACAACGCAGTTCTACCAATAATGAGAATCACCCGAATGTCGGAGAAGTACCAGAGCGTGCTTCCAAAGAGGACTTGCAACAATCCTTTTTCGATCCACGCACTGTTACTGGCAATGAGAATGACCTCATAAGAATGAGAAGAGAGGAAATAGAAGCGGTCAAAACGAAAGCCGATCGATTGGGCCGCGATATAGCGAAAGCGGCCAATCGTTATCGTTTTCGTTGCTAGTGGAAAAGTCACCACTCTGACAAAAGGTCATCGTGAAGGTTGGAAGGTCATCAAAGCGGACAAGAGAAGGATCATCAAGGATGACAGGACATCAAGTCGAATGGTCACTAGAATCCGACTGCAATGCAAACGGAAACGTCAAAAAGTAAAGAGAATTTGGAAAACGCCCGAAAAATGACAGGTCATATGGTCCAGGTCACGATCGAAATGCCAAGACACTCCAATCGAAAGGTCAAGACACTCCAACCTTAATTCAAACGGAACAACGAAAAGGTCACGAGTGTCCGGAATCATCAGAAAGCTCGAAAATTCCTCAAAGTCGTCAGACGGTTATCAAAAAGGTCATCAAAGACGAAAGTTTGTCAGAAATGGTCGTCCAGTCGAAAGGTCATCGGACTCTGACTGGAAGAAGTGCGGTCAAGCGACAGACGAACCAAAAGGTCAACTCGACGGATGAACCGAAAGGTCAAGTGACAGACTAACTGAAAGGTCAAATGACAGATCAACCAAAAGGTCAAGTGCCAGACCAATCGAAAGGTCATGGGACTTCGATGAAAAAGAGGAAGCGGAAAAAGGTCATGAACCATCCTCGTCCTCGACGGACTCAGCATCCCCCCCGAAACCCGAAACCAGCGGTACACAAGCGAAAGACATACCGGCTCGGAGCACCATTGGATGATAACAGCAGAACCTGACGAAAAACCAGTAGTGCTCTCGAACGGTAGATGGAAAGCGTGGAGAGTGGTCATAACGGATTCGGGAAATGATAATATCGGAACGGAATATGATAATGCGGAACAAACGCAGAGACATTGATTGACCTTTTGAACTGCATGGCTGTCGACTTCAAAATGTTAAAACTGAATATTAGAAAAGATGGGGAATGGATCAGAAAAACTGTTGAATGTTTGAATATTGACGGAGCTCTTGAACTGGCGGAAACGTCAAAAACGTGAAAGGTCACCGTGTTAGAATGAGACGATTGAACTTAATAATTGCACGTGAAAGGTCATCACGTTGAAGTAACGAAAGGTCATCAGTAGTGAATGTGAAAGTCTCAGTTCAGTACGGTAATAGCCTAACTAGGCGCAATGGTGAAGTATAAAGGTCACGTAACATATTACTGAAACCGCGTTCGTGTATTTGTTGCTTTCACTGTTATCATTTCAGGAAATTCAAATAGCGGGAGCAGCACTACGGCGAACAGTCGGTTCACTCTCATTAAGAATGGTAAAGGTCAGAATTGACTGAAAAAGAGAAAGAGATTATGTGGAGTATTGTGGGGTTGAAATTGATTCGGTACATTAGCCGGCCCCAAAGGAGTTGTTACGGCATATAGCTCTCCTCTTTTAGCGATTCAGTGTCAAACCCTATCGAGAGAAACTACGGTAATCAAGCCGGATCTCTCGTTACAAACGTGGGCCACAAGCGGCGAAAAAAAGAAAGACAATAAGTGGAGTATTATGGGGTAAATTTAAGGCGGTAGTTAGCCGGTCCCATCAGAGAAGCGACTGTGAACTTTGCCGGCATTCTGGCCGCTCGAGGCATGTTAAAGTTGGATGTGCGGCAAAAGGTCAAATGGTTAAACTGTTTACCAGGGTGGCAAGCGAAGAAGTGCTTGAACGCCACAAAAAATTGGCTAAGTTCCTCCATGACCTTTAATGGAAGCTTTGAAAAGAGGAAGTTGGATGACCTTTGGGATCATTACAGCCCAACCAGTCACCATGTCGGAAAGAAAGTCGCATGACCTTTGGGACCGTTACTACCCAAATAAGCCGCACATCCTGGATCATCTCAACAAAGGATGACTTTTACCAGTGAGGAAGCGAATCACGCTTGTCTTTAACGACGTCCCTCCATGACCTTTATGGATCCCAGTTTTAAGTCGTACGATTGATTCGCACCAAATTCCAAAGATGAAGCAGTATTCCTAAGTCGTACTAGATACGCACCTGATTCTCAAGCGGATTGGGATAAAGTCGCATTACGTATGCGCGGGATTGCTCAACAGAGCGGAATGGGCCAAAGTGCTGGAAACGGTAGACAGAACCTGTGACCTTTACGAGTCAGAAATGGAGGATCCTAATATACATTGATTAAAACTTCTGTTGATCTGTTTTATGTTGATTTGATTTGATAGTATTTTTATAGAAAGGTCTCTTATTCACGTCGTGTTAATGGAATTGTGCCTTATGGAATTGATGTGATAAAACGGATTAAGAGAATCTGATGTTTTTATTAGCATATGAGCACACACAGACAGCGGCGACCGCCGTCTTTTCGTTGATTCCGGAGTATGATGAGCCTCAACGGAGCTCGGCATCCAGCCAGAGGCATGTAAGCGACTGGATCACTGGCGTTCACCCTCGCCAGTCTACGCCACCGGATTACGTGTCTGTGTTGTGTCTCTTCTGATTGGTTGACGGCCATAGCCGTTCATTGTTTGTGATTTGTTGTCGCGGCTTAGGGCGCATGCGAGAGCGACTGAATCGGGCACCTCGCTCAGTGTTGTTCAGTGTTGAATTTAGTCATAAAGTCAGCAAGTAGCTGAGCGGATCTCGCGTATTATTTCGCTGTTCGCAATACTTTCAGCATTGCTCACTCCACGGGATCTATTCCGTTTAGGTCGCCGTATCTGGATCCATTCTGGATCTAGCTTTAGACGGTCATCATGGACTCTCAGGCAAAAAATGCGCAGGACGTATCATTCGACATTCGTCTTTGAACGAAGTAATTCGGAGAAGCTTGGTAATATACCGGCGGTACTCGAACCGCGAGGGACCTGCGACGTGGATGACCGGCGGCCGGACGGTGTATCGCCTTGGAAAAACGGACGACGGTTAGCTTGGGATGTCACGTGCATGGACACAGTTGCCTTCTCCAATGTTATCCACTGCAGTGAGAAAGCGGGAGAAGCAGCCAGGAAAGCGGAAGAAGAAAAGCGCCGGAAATATGAAGACTTAGGTAATTTGCACGAGTTTGTTCCGTTAGCTTTTGAAACTTTTGATGTCACTGGCCCAGCAAGTTTGAAGTTTTTACGCGAACTGGGCAAGCGGTTAAAGGATGCTACTGGAGAACGACGCTCTTACGAGTTTTTGATACAGCGTCTTAGCATTGAAACACAGCGGGGAAACGCGTTGTCGATAACGTCGACTGTTCCACGACTTGACGGTCCTAATGCTGTTTATTTTTTTTTAACGTTTTTAACTGAAAAAAAACAGTAATAAAAAAATGAGGTTGCTACGACCCGTGCCGGAACAATTTGCGAGACATCGCAATACGTGATTATACGTCACACCATTCGAACACACAATGTGTGGCAAAATGGCTAAAGGCTATTCTGCCGACTATACTGGGGCAAAATAGCTACAGACTATTTGGGCGCAGTGTGGGGCAAAATAGCGAAAGGCTATTTTGCCCCCCATACTGGGGCAAAATAGCAAAAGGCTATTTGAACTCAGTGTGGGGCAAAATAGCAAAAGGCTATTTTGCCACACTGCAGAATACTGGGGTAAAATAGCCATAGCCGCAAATTACAAACCAATATATTCCTGGTATGCGGTAGAGGGGCGGTGCCGGTGCAAACACGCTCATTGGCTATGTGAGTGGCCAAAGAACAGAGAATTAAGCATAGCGCTAACAGGGCAAACTACAGATGCGCAGTGTAACACAATCTATAATTACCGAATTTCATGGTGCAAACAGCAAAGCGCTGGCGGCAATAAGTCACTGCAGTAACAGATTTCCACGTGCCAGCTAACATTTCCTTGTAGAGCACGTTTTTCTGTACATTTTGGTTATGGTCTGGTTTAGTTAACACCTCATTAGCTGCACGAGCAGTATTTAAAGTCGCTGTTTCGGACATGTGCTTAGCGACAGAAACAACGACTTCCGGAAACTCGTTGGTTTTCACGAACTGCCGTCCGTACGCGGCTGCCCTGTCGCATAACGTCAATTAATCACCCATAACTCAACTTTCCCCGTGCAGTTAAAAAAATATTCAGAAATACCAGTGCTTAAACTGCATTTCAGTCAGCCGTGGTTGCTATGTAACCATCCGCCACAGATGCTGTCAATTGGGTCAAGTAATTCATATATACTGATTTTATACAGTGGATTTGATGAATACAATGAGAATATCGAAGCATTGTGGTAAAATAAAGACAACGTTACGAAAATTAATTCAACGCGGAAACTAGCACAAGAGCGTTAAAACTGGTGCGCAGCAGCCGCAAGACCTTTCCTAGCCTGGCCAAAGACCTGCGCCTTCACCTCTGCGAATGCGACAATACTTCTCAAACTCTTGGCGAGTAGGACTGCAAACCGTTTCTTCATTGCAGGGAGCACAGTATTAGTCGTCGACCACGTCCCCGATCGTTATATCATCTCGCTTATCTGCAAAACAAATGAAACGCTTACAGTCGACTCTTTCATGATGCCGGCAAAACTGTTAACGTACGACGAGCGTTGATGATGGCGGCGTCTGCGGTGCTAGTGTTAGCCACGTCGGAAGAACTCGCATGATCATCGCTATGTTCTGGGAAATCCTGGATGGGAGTCTGAAACACACAGACGAGCAGCAGTTATTGGACGCTGTGGGATGCGGTGGTTTGACCACGCTTACACCTTGCACTGGAAGAAACGGCAGGACAACAAGGAACACAGTGAAACCATACATTTCGTCAATCAGTAAATGATCGGTAAAACAAAAAGGTGATATCGTAATAATACACAAAGCTATATCATCAGAACGACGTTTACAATTCAGTTTATTTTAAATAACCCGTAGGTTATGAATCCCCGTTATTATGAAATGACTACCGACATACGAGCATTTTATATGAGTTCGTGTACGGTGTAAGTGTGCCATGCAAAAGAATTGCTGACGCCCATGATAGCGTGGAAGCCCCGTGATTATTAAGTGGCCTGATGTGGTGACACTGATTCAGCTGTGCCGGCGTTACCATCGGAAATACTTGTGAAAAAACGCGAATCAGCCAATTTTTCGGATGTCCACAAGCTTAAGACTCGATTCTTGGTATAATTACTGCATTTTTCTACGTTTCATCATGCACCGAATTCGTACTAATCTATTCGGATTGACGTGATGCACAATTCCAAGTGTTTGTTTAAAGTCAACTTGCTCGTTCATTTATACACAAGCTTCGACTGCTCTGTAACGAGAAATAGTGGAAAAATGGGCCGAGCTGAAACACCAAATCCCTATCTGAACTTTTAATGGCTGATGCACATTTTCGTTTTGTGTTTATAACTATGCATGTATCGAAATACAAAATTAAAATGCATCGATTCTACGAGTGCAGCTTATAAGAAGCCTGGACAATGAAAAAAATATGCACCATGTTTATAGCCACAACGTCAGCCGGGTAAAGGCAGCAGTACAATGATTGCGGATATTATCAAAAACAAGCCTCTCAAAAATAAACAGAAGCCAAAATCTAGAGTACGAGGACATTTGGGTGCTGTGAACATACCCTGCACGATTAGGCTGCGATGAACAGCTGGTTAGCCGTAGCTCGCAACGCTACTGATATCACAGTCTGAACGCAAACGGCTATAAATTTAGCCGGCTGTTCATCGCAGCCTAATCGTGCAGGGTATGTTCACAGCACCCAATGAATGTCCTCGTAGCTGAAGTGAATGCTTATTGAACGACACTTTTAGACGATACTGGACTACGAGTCGCTGTCGCTTTACGTATGGGAGCTCCGATTTGTAAGCAGCACAAGTGTCGATGCGGTGAAATGGTTGATGCCCAAGGTTTGCATGGATTGTCATGTTTAAAAAGTCAGGGGAGATTCAGGCGTCACGCAAGCCTGAACAGCCTTATTCAACGCAGCCTGGGATCGGCTAAAGTTCCGACTATTTTGGAACCTCCTGGACTGAGCATGTCAAATGGGAAGCGCCCGGACGGTTTGTCTCTTTTCCCTTGGAAGAACGGTCTCCCTTTGATTTGGGATGTGACAGTGTGCGACACATTTGCTATATCGTACATCGCCGGCTCATCAGAAGCAGCGGGTTCGGCAGCAGAAGACGCGGAGGAACGAAAGAGGCGCAATTACGAGGAATTGACTGATCGTTATTGCTTCCAACCTGTGTCCTTGGAGACTATGGGAAGTTGCGGCGCCAGTACCCATCAGTTCATAAATGAAGTTGGTCGACGCATAAAAGATCAAACAGGAGAAGCGCGCGCTACTGATTTTTTGTGGCAGCGTATTAGTGTTGAAATTCAGCGTGGAAATGCCGCTTCTGTCATGGGGACTGTTGGTTATTCAAAAGAGCTTGAAGAGTTGTTTTATTTGTTCTAGCTATTCGATATTTGAGTTAAGTGTAAATGGCATTTGCTTGTACAAGTTTCAAATAAAGTCTTACACACAGTTTGCCAAGTGAAATAATTACTGACGCAGATGATAGCGTGGAATCCCCGTGATTTTTAAGAGGCCTGGTGTGATGAGGTGGTGTTAGCTATTATATTTTAAAAAGTAATAGAGGGATTCTGAAGCGAAGCACTGACTGAATATTCATGCTATTAAGGCTAAACTACTTATTACGAGTACATACAACTAATTGTAATTGCGTCAACTGAAATTCGGTATCCATTTAACGGGTGCAGTAAAAATTATTACTAATGAAATTAATTTCTGAAGCTCACTATCAGGGCTAAATTTAACTATTAAGTACAACATATAAATATGAAATTTCCTACTTTCAGGACTTTAAATATACGTAATAAATTACCTACCGAATGAATAACTGAGATAAATTCTGAATTAGATGGTGTTTAGTTAAGGTGTTCCACTGGACCCTCAAACGCTCTACCGCGCTCATGCACACGTGGAAAATTATAGTTACCTTATTCTCTCAATCAAATGTTATATACTATGCAGACTGCATATTAGGGATAAATTTAATTACTGCACTGATTTACAAATTAAATTATTGAATACCCAGCTAAACACTAATTTATTAGATGTTGTTAACTAATTTATTAGATGTTATTAATGACCTGCTAATCACCTAATCAAAAATGAATAATTACATGCTGTTAATGACCTGCAAATTATTTAATAAAAAACGAATAATTATATATTATTAATTTCCTTTAAATTGTTTAATAAATTAATTGCTGAATGCTGAATCAAAAAATAAACCAGTGCTGAATTAAATGCTAAATAGATCCTAATTAATGGAAGGCGATCCACTGGACCCGGAAACGCTGTATGGCCCAATGCACACGGCGGCGGGCGTCTCTTTGTACCAGCAGACCATCGCCGACGCCCAGTAGGCCGGCGGCTGCGTCCTGGTGGGCGGGAAACCTATCTAACATCCCGCGAGCGGCAACTTCGTCGAACCGACCGTCATCCCCGACCTACAGCACAATTCCGTCATTATTCTGAAAGAGACCTGTGCCCCCATTTTATACGTCCTGAAATACCGCACCCTGGAGGAGGCCATCGCCTGGACCAACGAGGTCGATCAGGGATTTTCCCCCAGCATTTTCACGCAAAACATCGGGACGATGCACGCGTGGCTGGGCGACCGGCGGATCGGACTGCGGGAGCGTCAACGTGAATGCGTCGACGTCCGGCGCGGAGATCGGCGGGGAAGAAGCACACCAGCGGCGGTCGGAAGATCATGAGTGATTCGTGGAAGCAGTATATGCGCTGCGGGACGTCTACGATTGATTAATGGATTTTTAGAATTGAAGTTTGATTCTTACAGTTTTACCCGTGTCGGCTGATTGCTCGGTTTTACTGTTGTTTGTGTGTGTTGCAGTACAGTGGCTTAGAAAAAGCGCTTCTCGGTCTTTGAAGACGGTGGTGTAACGTGAAAAATTAATAAAAAATAAGGAAAAACATTTATCAAGGTAAAGATCTATATTACAACGGAAAACCCCGTACGATCTGGTCAGAACAAACCAAAAAATTAATCGAAAAACTGCTAACGCCATTCGATTCAGCATGTCTGGAAACTGTGTCACATGCATTGTTTTGGTAATTATCCGCTCCGGCTTCCGTGCAGAGACACCGGTGCCGGTAGAGCTGAAAGCTCAAGGTGACCTTGAAAACAATTTTCAAAGTCCTGTTGCATGGAGCACGACACCAGTAAATTTAAACTGGTACCCTTTTTAGATCAACAAATTATAAAGGTTATTCTCCTACAAAACTAGAAAAGCCAATTAGCAGTAACACAAACGATGCTGCTAGTGAATGACTCTGTTTAAATAAATCGTTAACAATTTAAAGCGCTCAAAAACATGACTTAAGGGAAGTGGGCCGGTACATGGTACCAACATCCGGTTCGGGAGTTATGGCTGTAAGAAAATTCCAAAAAGTTTAAATGCATTCAGGTGTACCAAAAGTCTCATTATCGACCGATCTCCCTCAAATTTTGCACGTAAATGCACATAACCGCGAAGAGCATTTCTACACCTTTCTACACCGATGATCCGATCCATTGTTCCAGCAATTTTTTCAAATTTTAAAATGAGTTTCAAAAAGTTTAAAATTCATTTTAAAATTTGAAAAAAATAATGGAAGCCTGGATCGGTGTAAAAACGAACTTCCTGGACATGCGCATTTACGTGCAAAATTTGAGCGAGATCGGTCCATAATGAGACTTTTGGTACACCTGAATGCATTTAAACTTTTTGGAATTTTCTAAAAGCCATAACTCCCGAACCGGATATTGCGCGCACAAACGGTTTTCACGCCAGTGTATACAAATCTTCGGGCTACAGAAAGTCATAAACCGAAACAAAAATGTGTTTGGGAGTGCGCGAAAGTGTAAGGTTTCGTGCATGTACACGAATTTGGTACCATATACCGGCCCACTTCCCTTAAGAATAAGAACTCTCGTTTAAAGCCATTTGAAGGCAGCTGCAAACCAAACTGACCATAGTAATCGTTTAAACGGGCTGACCTTTCACTGCAGTCCGAGCAAAACTAAGGACAGGGATTAATTATCAGCATATACAGTCCTTAAATTATTCCGTATAATACGGAATAATACGGTATCTACATTCTAGATCTTTACCACAAAAAATAAAAAGGGATACACGAACCCAGCTTTCCCGTATAGAATCAGCAAAAACCATTTCCGTAATCTGAGTGCTCATATTCCAACAGCAAAAACCATTTCCGTAACCTGAGTGCTCATATTCCAAAACCCGGCCAGACGGTCTTAGTTTCACAGAGCCCCCGCTGTGACCGAACTACCACTACTGTCTAGAGCACACAGCCCGCTAGGTGAACGAGTGACCGAACTACCGCTGTTGTCCAGAACACACAGCCCGCTCGGTGAAAGGGTGACCGAAGTACCACTATTGTCTAGAGCACCCAGCCCGCTAGGTGAACGAGTGACCGAAGTACCACTACTGTCCAGAACACAGCCTGCTAAGTGAACGAGTGACCCAAATACCTCTGCTGTCCAGAGCACCCAGTCCGCTAAGTATACGAGTGACCGAACTACCGCTGCTGTACAGAGCATGGATCCCCGCAGGGTGAGCAGGTGACCGAACTTCCATTACTGTCCAGAAGCCCGCTAGGAAAATGAGTGACCGAACTACCACCAGAATCTATTGCAGGCATTCTTTCGGTGGAAATTTCAAATTTAGTACCTGGTAGACTTGGGGTCTGGAGGGAGAAGTTTACAAAATTCCTTCTGTGTGAAAGTGAATGCGTCTAACCATAAGTGCACAAAAGCCATAAATTCACTTTTTATCCTATCTGCATTTTAGCTTAGTTTCGCTGAAGGAATAAGATGGTAACTAAATAGCTGATCGAAATCATTTGACTAAACCGGCCATAGACTGGGTACCGCAAGAAACGCGGAGGCGAAGCCGAGGCTGTTTCTTGTATAAATGTTTAACGCACTGAAATACTTTTTAAGAAATGAATTTATAAAAAACTTAATCGGAATTATTTTTTAGAATTCTTGCCGGTTGTCTAAATACCAAATAAATTAAAGAGGGAGTAATACTTAGATTCTTTTAATTACCGACGAAATTTTGGCCATTTTATGCGGCGTACGACATCTGCGATTAATTACAGCAAGGAACTGCTTTTTCGCGCAGGCCCGCATGGACCGAAGTTTGAATTTTAGAGCTTTATTTGGGCGGCTGTTTGCCCAGATTTATCGTACGACTGTTTCTTGTAGTGCTGCAGTGGCTTAAAGAACGGCAGTACTCGTGTAAAATGGTATTATGGTACTATAAAAAATGGTACACTATGGACCATTTTGACTTTCACTATGGTACTATACGTACGTATAACATTTTGGTATAATCTGGTCAACTAAGGAAAAATTATTTAACTAGGGAAATGTACCAAATTGTGCATTGGTAGACCGCTCTTAATAGGGTTAAAAACGGAAGGTTGCTGCAATGGCTGCTTTGGAAAGTTAGGCAGTGCAACAAAGACATTGTGCGGGATGGCTTTAAGTGGAGGTACCTGTGTAACCAACCGAACGTCAGGAGAAGTCATTACAATACGTTCACCTAAATTTTGCCCGCGGTCACTTACGCGCATGCCTTGCAAATGATTCCGGGTGTTTATGTTCCCGATCGGTGCACCACGATCATAGCGGGAACCCTTTAACCAAAATGGTGATCTAGGGTATTAGTTCTTTGTTAGCGTATTACCAAAGTTATCCACCATGAAACTTTTGTGTAATTTATGACAACAGTCAACAGCCAACCTCAAATCTTCCAGAATCTGCTTCTACAGAAAAACGTGCAATGTTTCAGCGAATGTTGCAGATAAATCACTGCACATTTTTACAGAAAAAGATTAAAAATTGATTACTGTTTGCATGATCTGAATGGGCAGTTATTATGGACTAAAGAAAGTCTTTGATGAAGGATCTGTTAAAATGGAATTCCAATCGCCCAAGGAGGAAAGGTTGCGTATGTCCAAGGTTCCGTATGACGTGACTTTGGCGTGGTCCTTGCTAAAAACTCTATAAATGCGCAAGAATTTTTTGCTGTCAGCGTGACTTGTGATAGTTTATAATTTTTTCGCACATTGCGCAATAATACATTTGTACGAAGAAAAACATACTTCGACGTTTTCATATTTTAATGAAGTCTGCTATACAAATCAATACTCGTATACTCGTACGTATTCACCACCCCCAACTCAACTTTCCACGTGCAGTGCAAAAATATTCGGAAATACCGGCACTTAGTCACTGCGTAAACTGCACTTCAGTCAGCCGGGGTTGCTCATGTAGCCGCCCACCACAAGAGAGTCAATTCGATCAAGTGAGTAATATATGGATTTCATACCGCGGACTTGGTGAATATAATGAGAATGTCGAAGCATGGTGTTAAAACAAAGACCACGTTACGAAAAATCATCACGGAAACTAGCGCAAGCGCTAAAACTACAGTAGAGCGTTAAAACTGGGGCGCGCGCAGCAACCGCAAGACCCTTTCCTAACGTTAGCGAGCCTGGCCAAAGACCTGAGCCTTTACCTCTGCGAATGCGACAATACTTCTCAAACTCTTGGCGAGTGGGACTGCAGAGCGATTCTTCATTGCACGGAGCACAGTAGTTGTCGTCGAACACGTCCCCGATCGTTATATCATCTCGCTTATCTGCAAAACAAAAGAAACGCTTACAGACTACAGTGTGCTCTTTCACGATACCGGCAAAACTGTTAACGTACGCCGAGTGTTGATGTGGACGGCGTTTGAAGTGCTAGTGTTAGCCACATTGGAAGAACTTGCATTATCAGCGCTATGCTCCGGAAATTCCTGGATGGGAGTCTGAAACACATAGGCGTTGGCACTAGTTAATGGACGCTGGGGGATGCGGTGGTTTGAGCACGCTTACAGCTTGCACTACAAGAAATGGCAGGACAACAAGGAACACAGTGCAACCATACATTTCGTCAGTCACGTCACACAGTAAATGATCGATAAAACAAAAAGGTGATATCGTAGTAATACACAAAGCTATATCATCAGAACGACGTTTACAATTCAGTTTATTTTAAATAACCCGTAGTTTATGAATCCCCGTTATTATGAAATGACTTCCGACATACGAGCATTTTATACGAGTTCGTGTAAGTGTGCCATGCAAAAGAATTGCTGACGCCCATGATAGCGTGGAAGCCCCGTGATTATTAAGTGGCCTGATGTGGTGACACTGATTCAGCTGTGCCGGCGTTACCATCGGAAATACTTGTGAAAAACGCGAATCAGCCAATTTTTTGGATGTCCACAAGACTCGATTCTTGGTATAATTACTGCATTTTCTACGGTTTATCATGCACCGAATTCGTACTAATCTGTTCGAATGGACGAGATGCACAATTCCAGGTGTTTGTTTAAAGTCAGCTTGCTCGTTCCTTGATACACAAGTTTCGACTGCTCTGTAACGAGAAATAGTGGAAAAATTGGCCGAGCAGAAACACCAAACACCTATCTAAACTCCTAATTGCTGCTGCAAATTTTCGTTTTGTTTTTATAACTATAGTCTATACATGTATCGAAGTACAAAATTAAAATGCATCAATTCTACGAGTGCAGCTTATAAGAAGCCTGAAAAATGAAAACAATAAGCACCGTGTTTAGCAAACGTCAGCCGGATAAAGGCAGCAGTACAATGACTGCGGATATGATCAAAAACAAGCCTCTCAAAAATAAAAAGAAGCCAAAAACCTAGAGTAGCTGAAGTGAATGCTTATTGAACGATGTGTATAACCGGGAACCAAAAATCTTATTCTTCGCTTTCTCCGTGTTTTGAAATCTGCTTGTTCCGCGCTTTTATACATACATATCATCGTAGTAATAAACAAACAGCGACATTGACAATTTAGTTCACTGCCAACTATCTGTAGTTTTTATGAATTTCTTTTATTATGGAATGCATAGCTTTTGTACGAGCATCTGAAATAAGTTTGCCAAGTGAAATAATTACTGACGCAGATGATATCGTGGGATCCTCCTGATTTTTAAGAGGCCTGATGTGGTGACACCGATTCAGCTGCACCGGCGCTACCATCGCAAACGCTCGGTTGGAAGCGCGAAGCAGCCACTTTTGTGGATTTGCTTCGTACAATTACTGCAGTTTTCTGCATGCTTTGTCATTCATGTAATTCGCGCTAATTTGATCGAACCGACCAGACCCACAACTGGAAGTTCTTTTTTAATATCAACTTGCCGGTTTAACTTGATATGTAAATGACAGGACTTTTTATGAATTATTAACACTTGATGTGAACTTAGAATACTAAATTGGTATATATACCGTACTATCTGCGGTAGGTACTTTGTACATAGAATAATATCATCGGCATGAGAAAGCAACTCAGAAATAGTTTGGTCAATATTCTCAGTTGTTGGCCATTTCTCAGTTGTTGTATCCCTCGTGCGAACGAACGATGACCATTGGATTTGGCCCGTTACATAGCACCAAGTTCGTGTACATCCTCTCCAGAGAGATGGCACGAGTTAGGGCTTCTCAAATCAACCGTACCCACACTGTATCCTATGCGTACCCACTGTAGCGGTACTGTATCCTAAGTGTAACCACTGTACCTACACTGTATCCGCTGTACCGACACAGTATCCTAAGTGGAACCACTGTACCGGCACTGTATCCACTCTACCGACACTGTATCCTATTCGTACCCACTGTACCGGAGAGACACTGTATCAATGAACACGCGGCATGGAAAGAAGCAGCAGGTTCCTGCGGACGGCGACTGGAAGTGTCCATTTTGCGCAAGGAATTCGCCTAAACGTGCTGCGAAGTACACCGGAGGCCCACGTAAAAAGTGAACACTTGTGGCTGTTGCTATTATGCAGTGTTTAAAACGTAACTTTTAAACAGCCATCATGATTAAAAGTATATAATTCGAATCGATTAGTATTTCGTTTTAACCGATTGACATGGTCGCATTCAAACGAAAACTTTTGCCTACTTCTGGCTTGGAATAGGCGTTATGTTATGAATGAAACTTTGCCATGTTACAAATTTAATCAACGTCCTTGGAAATGTTTGTCTCTTATTAAATCAGCTTTGCAACATCGGGATTGATTTAGATTGGGTACAGTGCCGGTACAGCGGGTACAAGGCAGATACAGTGGAGTGCCGGTATAGCGGGTACAAGGCAGATACAACGGATACAGACTGGGTACAGTGTCGGTACGGCGGGTACAATGCAGATACTGTGGATACAGATTGGGTACAGTGTCGGTACAGTGGATACAGATTGGGTGCAATGGCTACATATAGGGTACAGTAGTTTATGGATATCACTGCAGTATCCAAGAATGTTCTAATCGTTTTAATGCATTGGATACAATGCTAGTGTATCCTATGGGAATTTGGGAAGCCCTAATAGAGGTACACTATTACATCCATGGGAGCTTTCGCTGTTGCGCGCTCCCAAACACTTTTTTGCATTGCTTTATGGTATTTTGTAGCCAGAAGAACTGTATACCTAGGTGAAGAAACGTGTGCGCGCGCAACATCCGGTTGCGAAGTTATGAGAATATCAAAATTCCAAAAAGTTTAAATGCATTCAGGTGTACCAAAGTCTCATTATGGACCGATCCCTTTCAAATTTTGCACGTAAATGCACATAACCATGAAGATCGTTTTGACACGGATGATGGATCCACTGTTCCAGCATGTTTTTCAAATTTTAAAATGAATTTCAAAAATTTTAAAATTCATTTTAAAATTCGAAAAAAATCGTAGAAGTCTGGGTCAGTGTCAAAACGATCTTCATGGTTATGTGCATTTACGCGCAAAATTGTGAAAGGGATCGGTCCATAATGAGACTTTGGTACACCTGAATGCATTTAAACTTTTTGGAATTTTGTTATCCTCATAACTCCGCAACCGGATGTTGCGCGCGAAAACGGATTTCACGCCTATGTACACCAATCATTTGGCCATACAATATCAAAAAGCAACCCAAAAAAATGTTTGAAAGTGCGCGAAAGCGAATATTCCCGTCAATGTACACGCTTTTAGTGCTATGTACCGGACCAAATCCCTTAAAGCGTTTAGGCGGTCTTACAGTGCGCCCAACAGCTAGCAGCAGCAACAAACAGCAGTGTAAACTGTATGTCTGTTCCTTGCACTGTTTCTGCTGCCTTATGCGCTGCTCGTTCTTAATTGCTCATGCAGAGAAACATTTTTTTATGGTAAAGCAACGTCAACACAACGGCTGAATTTGTGTGTTTGTCCCTAAAGAAAATTGAATGAGTAGTAACCATCATGCATCGTGCATAGAAATTTAAGCAAGGCTTTTATTTAGTGTATGTATAAAACAAGCCTCAGATCATACAGAATACGTAAACAGAAAAACGTATTTTAACGCAGAAAATCCTATTTCTGCGTTTTAACAGAAACGCAGAAAATAATAACAACTCGAAAAGGAAAAGTATTTATTCTCACTTCAAAAGGTTATCGATCGATATCATTTTCCATGGATTCCATGGTTTATAGCGGATACCGTTGACAAGAATCTGGTGTCTATGTAGTCGTAGCGATCGTGGTAGTCCATGTAATCGTGGTAGTCCATGGTGCTGTAGTCACTGGTCGTTGTAGTTGGTATGGTCGATGTAGTCGATGTGGTCGATGTGGTCGATGTGGCCGATGCTAACAAAAAAGTTCTATGGGTTTACGGTATTTTACTGTTAGCACAAATTATAATAACTTGTAATTTTACACAATACCATTGTTAATTTTGATATAGGTTATACGGTACCAAATGTAAACAACGTTAAACAAACTTTATCACGGAAAATAGCGTAAAAATGTTACACCCGGCGCAGGTGGCATAACTATCGCGCCAGCCGCAACGACATAGTAAATGATGGTACGCCTGAGTTTCTAACCCATATGAGCGCGACATCTTTCACCAAAATCTTGGCGAGAGTTGCACCCTTCACAAACAAGCCAATCTCCATTGCAATAACCGTCCCAGCCGTCCAGTATGTCAATAACCATTATCCGTCGCTTGCCTGCAAAATAATTGGAACACTTGCCTGCAAAATAATTGGAACACGCTTGCCTGCAAAATAATTGGAACACATATCAGAACGTCTGATGAAGCATCCATGTCCAATCAAGCCGGCTCCGACAACAATTTGTGGTAGAACGGTGACCACCTCCCATGACTCGTATCTGAACCGCCTTGTGTCCGTCTGGAACGATCTTCCTTTCCAACCCGTTGCCTACGTTACTTTGAACGCGTTCACTGAAGCTCTGAAGAGAGTGAGCTTGAAGGATCTACCATCGGTTAAAGCTTTCAAAAAAAGTGCAGTGTAATTACCGTTGTTATTTTAATGTTCTCTTTATTGTTTTTGTCTTGTTATACATGTGTTATGCCTACCATAGTAATTTCGGTTGCGAGTTAGTTGCAGAAGTTACCAAAAAGGCGATTACGTGCGTAAGTGTCGGTGCTTTCCTTTTTCCCACAGTTTTGTTTTGGAAATTTTTTGAAAATGGTAATTTTACTAATATGTGTGGGTTTGGTTTTATGCATCGACCCCAGCGCGATCGCCTCCCCGCCCTTTTTCCACAATAAACGCAACTTATCGCAACCGTACCGACAACATGCAGTTTTAAGTGCTTTTCATGTGCTGATGTTTGTTTTTGCATGTGTTGATGTTTTTTCTGGTTTATACTTGTTTCCGCTGGCTTTCATGTTTTCGTGGTATCGCATTTTGATGTTATTTTAACATTCTGCTTTGTTCTCCGCTGTCTGAAGCTTAGAGGGGGCAGTCGCTTCGTTGCAAGGACAATAAACTTCATTACATTACATTACATTACTTATGGTCGACTGTTTTGCACGATGCCTGTAAAGCTTGAACGTACGGCGAGGTTGGACATGGGTGGTGTTTGACGTGGTAGTGTTCGCCAGATCCGAAGAGGTCGCATTATCATCGCTGTGTTCCGGAAAATCGTGGAAGGGAGCCTAAAACCGTAAAGGTCACAGACGACGGTACCGAATAACGGACCCAAGGGGATTCTGGGTGTCGGGGTATGCTTACAGCATGTAGTAGGAGAAATGGCATGACGAAAAGGAACCCAATGGAACCGTACATTTCGTCAATCACGTTGCACAGTAGACGACCGTTAAACCAAACGACGATATCGTAACAGTAAATAGAGTTCGAAGTTGGCAGTTTAATTAAACAGCAATGGAGTAAATTTCCAGCAATGGAGTATTTAAGAGTTCGTAAATTTCTGTTATGAAATTTTACCTACAAACGTACTGCAGTTTTCGCCGTGCGCTTATCATCCACGGAAGCCACGCTAAGTTGTTCGACCCGACCAGGCCAGGCACACAATTCCAAGTTTCTGTTTGAAGTCAGCATGCCAGTTACTTGCCACTTGAGTGTCCAGTAGCTAGAAAAGATGGAAAAACCGGCAAAGCATAAACGCCAGAAGTTTAAGCTCCTACGACATTTCCAATAAAAAGCTGGATATAATATTCAAAACAGAAAAAGGAATATAAATGTACGTACGTGCACTTCGATTTTTCTCATATTTTGATCACCGATCACTGGTACAACTCCCAACGTGGTGCGTTACATTAACAGTTGGTGGTCGCATAACGTACTTTTTTTCTTGTTTTTTTCTTTGCTAAAACTGTCTTCGTGGTTAGAATGCAGCCGGTATTTTTCACACGTTTTCGATAGTTGGTGCTGTTCAAAATTTGCTAGTAAATCATCAGCAGACAAAGGTTGGCTTCAAAGTTTCTTTTTCCAATTGTCATAAGGCCCCAGAATTCAGCAATGTGTTTTCCTCAAACTGCGCGCCCGGCTTGCAGTGCTAAATTGCTGTCATATCCCCATTCTGTAAGTCCATAAGCACAGCAATTCTTAGTGCTTCATAGCGGCATTTAATTTTAATAAACATAATTCATTGTTCTGGGGTTGATAAAAAAAATTGTTAGTCAAAATTCATACATAAAGTAATCACAGAAATATCAGGAAAAGGTCACTAAGTCTACCGAGCATTGCAGCGCAGTTTGCACGAAAGCTGTCTTTCTGATCATTGTACAATTTCTTTTTGCTTGTGCACTTTTCGCTCTTGGGCAGTTTGATTGCCTAAGATAAACACGTTTTCCCTAGAAGTGGTAAGCAAATTTACTGAAAGGTGAAAGTAAGCAAGTAAACAACTCACTTAACTGATACCGACAATGTGCAATGTGTACGAAATTACAGTAGTACCATGTACCCAACCGATTCCCTTAATTTCAGCTTACAACAAATCTACGGAAATATTATCAAAAATACAGAGTCTGTTTACCGGTAGGTACTGACTGCGTAGAACAAAAGTAAATTGCCGGAGAACGTAAAAGATGATGTTACTCTGGATTAACCATTTTACTAGATCCAAAAGAAGAGTATTTCTACACGCAAATGATACGTAGCTGATAATTAATGTGTGTTCAAGAAATGTACCCAATGGTTAGCTTATGGTTACTATCAGGAATTTTTTTCGGACATTCGCCATCAGGCTGGTAAAATGTTCGTTTACCATAAATTTACCTTCAAGGCTTCTACTAGCGAGTCGGTGAATTTCGCTTGAACTTGAAGTCTGACAGTAAGAAGTGAAACAGCTATTAAATTCCTACTACGAACACAAACGTGCATCACCCTAGAAGAACGTTTACGTAGGAACCACGTTTCACTGATTTCTTCCAAATTTTAAAAGGAAGTTACCGGGCGCATAGCACTAAATTCGGAACGTTCACTCTCGTGCACCACCAAACACTTTTTTGGATTGCTTTTGATATTGCGTAGCCGAATGATTTGCATAATAGGCGTGACCTCCTGTTTCGCGCGCAAAGTAGCACATTTCAAGATTATTATTTGTACATTTTCTGCAATCACCGTACAACGCAGAATTGTTTTGCGGTGATTTCCTTTATATGTAAAAAGGTAGATCATATTCTTAGAGTAGTAAAATACTTGATAAATTAATCATATTTTTCATCTGTTAGTGGGTTGTTGTCTTGCCCTCGCTTTGTCGCTGAGGCACTTTTAAAGACCTGACATTTTTTGTGTCATTGTGCGGCTAAAATAGAAAAAATAAAACAATCTAAACTGCCACGACCAAGACAGCAAATTCAGTTTCTGTGTTTGGCTTGCATTGATAGTACATCGTTAGTAAATTTCAGAATATGGACGATGTTGATTTTAATGTTAGTTTGAAGCCCACATTGCGAGCATTTAGTGGCAAGCCGGTTGCTGCAAAATATAATGAATCAATATGACCGCAACGTCGTTTTCCCTGTCTGCGAAAATCGGCTCGTTCCGGCTTCCTCGCTGCCACCACCAAAAGCTGATCTCGACGTCAAATCTTATTAGCCTTGACCTCTGCCTTTGCCCTTGTCTGGGTTCTTGAAGATGAACTTATCCAGAATGTCAATAACCATGATCCGTCTAGTATCTGCGGAAATAAATGCCGATATGGGGATCGACTCATTTGATGCTAGCTTAGTTCACCAATTACGATTGGGGAAATACTGTACTGTGTTCAGAATAAACTTACTGTTGCTGTTATCGTACTGAGTACCGTTGCCGGCAAGAGCGCCAATCAGATCGTACAGGCTTTGTCGGGGATCGCTGCCATCGCGCGGATCGCTTAAGGTAGCCTAATACATGGAAGAAATAGTCGACAAAATTTATATTTTCATGTCTGAGAGCGTATGCTAATGTATATATTCTAATGTAGGAAAGAAAACAGTGTAAACAGGCCATTCGATCAACGGTCAAATATTTGTAATCATTTTATTTTAAAGGCAATTAATTAAGTGATTATTTAATTAAAATATGTTTCAGTTAGTTCAAGTACTTCTTTTCTAAACTGGTTGTTAACGCGCTAGACTCAGGTTTACTTACCGCATGCAGAATAATGATTGGGAGAAACATTAAAAGCACAATGCTGAAATGCATTTTTGCACTTGATGAAGAAATGCCGTTAGGTGATTACTACCGATGATTATCAAATTACTGCAAAATATGCGCTATGGCACTATGCATGCATAGTTAAAAGCATCGATACTATACAAATTGTACAAATGTGCTTAAGAATGTATCGTTCAAAAATGTTATTTATATACGGCACTTCAAAAATTAAGAAAGTGATGACGTATCAGTGTTTGGATACTTTGGAAGTACATCCTCGCTTACAACCCTCGTGATATCGTGACAGTAAGTGACAGTCGTGGTAATGTTTTGACTGGTTATTCCCAGACTGAGCACTCGAAATGTCTGCGGATTGTAATCGCGCTGACCGATCGGTTTTGGTTTTGGACGTTGCAAACACGTAACGTCGCTAAAATACATTGTTCGCTCTCCCATGTAAGAAGCCACTGTATACTGTACTAAAATTCCCCAATCCGGAATTGGTCACGCAGTCACGCTTTTCCTGGAGTCAGCTGCGTTTTTGGAGTGTTGATCACTCAAAGAAAATGCTAAGAAAAACCGGATAACCGAGAAACGCTACAAAACGCGTATCGAAAACAGAAATGCTCGCCACACTGCACTGTACATGTAGCTGTGCTGTTGCAAAAGTATTTAATGTCGAAGTCCCTAAGTTGGCAGACTGAAACAAGCTTAAATGTCCAGTTTTACTAAAAGTTATTGCCATTCAATGGCACTGATGTAGGGTAACCTACCATAAAATTTTACTGTTTTCGGTATTTTTCCGTGTTTATTCATAGATCCCGTGCTGGACTGTAGTTGTAAGATTGATTATGCATAAGAACAATGAATGATGAGTAGAAAACGCCACATACGGGGGAAATATAATACAAACAATAATACAAACATAGTTATATATTATCATTCGCCAATCATTTCTCAGCTGATTGGGCAGGGTTTCCTACCACACGCAACAAGGTAGTGCAGCGTAGGTATCGTCTTTTGTGGTCTTGCTGGGTCAGGAAACTATCCAAGGTTTATTAGATTCAGGGCCTAAAACAACGAAAATTCAGTTTCGTAAACTACTAAACCCGGACGGTCTTCCACCCAGGGTGGTGACAGTGGAAAAACTTCCTAATAGGTGACCTACTTCCCAATAGGTGACCTTCAAAGTATTTTCAAAGAAATTTTATCAAATTTTCGAGTACTGTACTATGTTATAATGTTGGTATGGACTATGGTCGACATATCGTGAGTTGTGTAGCTGCCCTACTCGTAGCGTTTTTGAATAGTTAAAAAGTTCGACTGAGAGCTTATTTTTGTTGAAACTTGTGTAACAGCTTCTAGATTCCTCTTCTCCTTCCCCACGCTAAGCCGTTCGAGCAAAGCGCAAAGTCAACGGGTAGGTTAAGTGAAACAGTTGCTACATATCCAGTTAGGATATCTAATGTATTTTTTTAACCTCTCGTGCTGTATTATTGGGCAGACAGACAGTGAGAAACGGATTCATAAAAAAAGCCTTGGAGAATTGCACATACGAGTAATTAGACGTACCGCAGTCGTAGCGATAGTTGGGAAACGTGCTGGCATTGAATTCCCGATTCACAATTCCGTACGGCGGGTTCTTGTCGGTGTAACGAAGGTACATTTCTACAAAATAAGCCCAGTAGCCTGACAGGTTTCCTAGAAGCCCGTTGCTTTACAATACACAGCTGTGTTAATCGTGCGCTTACTGCCGTCTTTAAGGACACATTGATAGCGAAAGAAACCCCTGCTTCTAACTTGACGATGATGGGTAACGCCGTCAACACGCATTTCTTGGTTCAGCCTTGCATTATTAGCCGGCTCTGAGGATGGGGCCGACATCTGTGAGACAAGGAAAATAAATACCGTGCAGGTCAGTACCGAGCCGAGTAACGTGCATTGTGCAGAAAGCTACCGAACGCTTAGCCGAACGCTTAGCGCTCTGCCATGGCAACCGTGTCCCCTAAACAATTCTGGATTTTTCCTCCACACATTTGCAATTAATGCATAATATATAAAGGATACTTACCGTGCGAGTGATGACCGGCATCAAGATAAACATGGTGACCATGATAGTGTAGTACATAATTATTGTTGTCACACAATTATCAAGATGGTACAAAAGAACTCAGTTACCGGTACTTGCTTCAGTCAAACCTTTTCTAATAGGCGAAGTGGTGTTTAAGCACACGGAAGCAGGGAACTGGCATATATATTCGAGTAGAAACTGAAAAACATTATGTTAAATTTTGGCGAAAACGCTGAGTGTGGTACTTCACTCAAGAGCTATTCAGAGTAGCATGACTTTTGCGCTCAGAACTGAGCGAAGACATTCGCGGTAATTTTGCCGGATACGATTCCACGTTGCTGTCAATCAGCAAAAAGATTCCCAGGATCATGCAGGATGTACAGTACTTGATGCTCTGGTAAAGTGCAGCCGGCAAGTGCGGCCGTCACCAGAAACCAGTTAAACTTAAGCGCGTTAATGTTGGCGGAAATTCTGTTTTGAAAGGAAAGTTAGCAGAGTGCAGATGCCGGGAGACGTTAATGTTGTTCAGCTTCACGAGAGGACTAGCGCCGTTTGTGGCCATTCCCTTAATCATAGCATGGCTAGCTGGCTCTTCGGAACAGGTCGACACCTAGAAGACAATAAAAACCGATCTCGTCATATCATAGCATTTGCGCGTCTGCACTGTGCAGACTGTAAAAAGAACCGTCTGTACTTGAGCGTTATGACTTTACTGAATATACAAACAACCCAAGAGCACAAGAAGTTTGGTCCTCTACGAGAACACAAATTATTCAAAAAATTTTGTCATCATACGGAGCTGAAAAGACAGCATGGAACCCACTCGTCTAAGGAAAGAGAACCGCACAGTTCGCAGTCGTGTGCTTCTCCACTGCTTCGATCTGGCTTGAATCTTCTGATGGCGATTTCGTTATCAGCTGTGTATTAACCGTAATCTTTTGCGTCCACGGGTACGGAACGAAAAAGTCGTACTTGTTCCAGTAATGAAATTCACTTTATGCATTTTATATACCCAGATTTTATTAGGTTCAAGATTAAATGTATGTAAATACATTAACAGGTTCATTGTATGTTGTGGTGTTCCCGTGTATCTGCTTTGCTGCACTTAACAATGCGGTGATTGTTGGTTGTACTGATGGCTGTTTATGCTCAGTTCTCATACTGGCTGGCCAGCGTTCACGTTGTATTAAATATCCCTATAAATTTTGCAATACATGAGCAATAGAAAAGTGCCTACAATGCACTGATTTATATTTATTCTATGCCACGTGTTTGTTCTGCCAAGTTAAGGTAAATCTCTGACCAAACCATTTCTCTAAGGAAGAGCCGTGACGGTAATATCCTGTTAATTACTGTGGCTTCAGCTTTTCGCGGTAAAACATTTTTTTTCTGAATTATTTATGAAGTACTACAATTTCGAGACACTAGCAGCTGTAGACAGCAGGTCAAGGCAGCCGTTTTTATGTGCCGGTTTGTTTCGTACATTTCTGCCAAGATACGCGATTTTATTTATGGGTGAAATTAGCAAATCAGTTACCAGGGAAACCGTTTCGTTGTTATTTTGTAAATCTTCCCATCGTGTTCAATAACCACGGTAATGTAGCGGGGTAACATTTTGCTCTTTCAGCATCGTTTATAATTGTTAAAAATTTACGACGCTGTATAGGGCTTTCGGAGCGGATAGCGCGGAACGAATCGGCTAAGGAAAAAAAAACACATAAGCATCTGTTGTAGTCCGCTGCTGCGCTTCTGCTGTAGTCTGCTGCTGCGCTTCTGTCGTGGCCTGCTGCGGCTGAGGCGATAATGTCCACCATGGACCACTGCCATACGGCATCATAAGACTCGCCTGGCGTTTAGAACGGTTAGCCGGCGTTAAGGCTGGATCCCCTCGACTGCCGGGTGGCATTGCGAGCGTTCCCATATCGACACTCTATAGAAACGATCAACAAAAAATTCTGTATGTCATGTTATATTTTATTAATTTTACCTGTATACATTAAGTTTTTGTTGATGTGATATAATTATACAGTAATAAAATAAAAGCAGAATTATAGAATGGTAGAGCACGTACCGCGCTGAAGATGCCAGCGATGACAGCTAACAAGAAGATATGCATGGGATCGGAAAGGTGGTGCAATCAACAAAAATATCGAAAATATCAATAATAACAGTGCGAGCATTAATAAACACGAATTAGGACGCTGCTAACTTCTTTTATATGAAACGAACTAGATTTTCAGCGTCCAAGCAAGTGGCTGACCAAGCTTCATCTACAGATACCTAGCACAGGAAACTGCAGTCGCAAATTTCCCGTAAGCTACTGCGGTTCCAGCTATTCTCAGTACGAATAACACTCGAAATTGGATTACTAGGGGCACTGATTTTCCTGTTAAGGTAGCCGGCATTGTCGGCCATTTCTGAAAACCACTTCAATAAATACTCTTAAATGCGTATGCTAAGAAAGCTGAGTGCAGCAATGTTCTGGTGAGCTCTTCAGAGTGGTAGGCTGCAAACTGTTCGAAGGCATGCACGGTTTAAACTGTCCGCCAGGAACCGCGGAAGTTTGTCAGCTGCCCCTGATTCAAGGCATTACAAGAATTTGCTAAAGTCATTCTCGTAATGCTAACCCCGAATTAGCATTACCATAAAGAAGAGTATCACATCATATACATGGTAAAATGGTGTCATTTTTGATTTCATGCCACCTCTTGCAGGACTTTCCTGATCGTTGTTCTTTGTGTTAAACGAACAAACAAACATTAAATGGCGATTAAATACACAATTTTAAAGCTCAGTAGGATGCTTCTTTTAGCGCATGCCTCGCATGCAGGCGCTTCAGCTCAACCCCAATGCTGCGTTGCACACTGTCTCTTGAACTTATCACTGTTTAAATTTTAAACCGCCTAATGACACTGGTCGATTTCCAGTTTATCTTCTTACACTGTAGCGCGTATGAGCATACACTAAAACATTTTTATATGACAGAGAAAATATCTGTACAGAAGAATTTCTTCGTTTCTGCATGCATTTCGAAAGCACCCTCCAACATCTTTGCGTGGTGGTAAAAAAGTTCTTGACATCGGACGCAGCTGGGGAAGGCAGTTGAGAACGAATTGATTATGGAAGAGAACAGCATAATTCGCCGTTGGGCAGAGATCCTTTTTCGCGGCTTCGCTGCATGCAGTTTCGATCTTCCGACAGCAACTCCGTCATCTGTTATATGTAAGACTTTGTCTTCCGCACCGACGGGTACGGAACGATAGGGTAGTGCTGGTGCTAGTAACAACTTAGGGAAATCACATTTAACAAACCCAGATTTCGTTAGCATCACGTGCTAACGTATTTAGGGCAGCTTCATTGTACTAATGTAGTGAAAACTAGTGATGAACTTCGGGACTAGTACCGCGGCTATCATTGCCAGGGCGAAAATTAGCCAGACAATATTCATGGAAGCGGACTCAGCGCAGAGGAGTGACCAACAATGAATATTGTCAAAGAACGGCGAAAGGGTACTACCAATCAGGCTAGCAGCAAGCACCAAAAAGATTTTGGAAACAACACTGTAACTGCTGTCAATGGTATTAACTGTCAATGTTGTTATATGGTGCATAATGCAATACAGTGTACTGATTTAATTGTTTTTTTACACTAAGTAGTAATTTTGCCGAATTTAGTGTAAATCGCTGAAAACCACTTCACTCCAAAAATTATAATGATGGTAATATCCGATAACTTACTGAGGCTCCAGTAATTCGCGGTAAAACGTATTTGTATACTCTGAATAATGTACAGTCCCATCGGAAGTTTTTAGCCCAAACTTACTGTAGTGAGCGTGTTTGTATGCGCGTTGTACGTTCTGTATTACCGGTACACACGGATTTCTAAGTTACATTAATTTATTTATGTGAATGCACATAGCCGCAGCAGTCTCATTCTCTGTAACGCTGTGTATCTGTATAAACCACTATCTGACCATCCAATCGGACTGTATGAAGTACACTACCAATTGTCGACAGCACATCAATGTAGCCGTCTATATGTGCTCGTCTCTTTCGAACATTTCTGCCAAGAAACATGGTTTTATTAGCGGGTGAAATTAACAAATCAGTTACAAGACACCGTTTCGCTGTTATAAATTATGTCATTCTGTTCATTAACCATGTTCATTTAGCGGTGCATCGCTTTGCTCACTTTACATATTTTTGGATATTGAAAAATTTACGCCGCCGCATAAGGTTTGGGAAGACCATTCGAAACGACTCGGCTAAGGAAAAAGAACCGCATAATTAGCTGTAGTAGGTTGCTGTAGCGCCTCTAGCCTCGGCTGAATCCAGTATGTCCATATACTCCCAGGCAGTACGTACATCCCCTGGCGCTTAGAACGGTTAGCTGGCGTTAAGGACGGACTCCTTTGAATGCCGGGTGATTTGGCGAGAGTTCCCATATCGACACTCTATAGAAGTGAGCAATGAAAAATGCATGTTATGCATAATGCAGTCGTACCTGTACACATCAAGTTTTCTTTAAGGTGAAATATGAAGTACAACACATTTATCGAATGGTGGAGCACTTACCGCACTGATGATGCCCGCGATGACAGCCATCAAGAGGATATCCATGGGAGCGGATTGGTTTGAAAGTCAATGAAAATATTCTCGTTAATAAAATATCAGCAAGCATCAGTAAACACATATAGGAAAGTTGCTGACTTCTTTTATAGGCAACGAGCTTGCGTTTCGAAATCCACGGAAGTAGCTGACTGAGCCACTTCACTTCGTATGTATCTGTACTGCAGTCGCAATTTTCCGCTAAACTACTGCGGTTCCAGCTTTTCGCGGTACAAATAGCACTCAAAATTGGATCACTAGGTACACTACATTGAAATAATTTATAGCACTTACCCGTGTTCGTAAGGCTTTCGTTTAGAAACAACACGCAGTCAGACCCCAAAAATCAAAAATCGTATTACTGTTATAGTAAACTGGTTACGGTTGTCGTATGGTCACGCAATTACGACATGTAAACCAAATGGTTCCATAACTCGAATACGCAGAATTGCCTACTCAGGAAGCTAAAACAACGGTCTCTGACTCCAAAGTGTGTAAATCTCTCATATTACGAAATATACTGTAGCAGATGGGTGTTTTGTGAACACTTGTCGTTTATCATTGGAAAGAATTTCTGTCAAACGTGACTGCATGGACTATCCGCAGTATTTGAGTGGTTTGATGTGGCGACACAGCAGCGAAGGCTCTAGCAAACACTTGTAAAAAGCGCGAAGTGGTCAGTTTTCGGGATATGAAGCAGATTCGAGTTTCGTAGACTCGAAGCGTTTTTATCTGTGTGTGTTTATCCATCTTTAACTAAGTATAACTCACTCGTACAGTATAACTCACTCAAGGCTTTTTTTTTTATATTCATTTTATGATTAATTTTTTATGAAAGAAGTTTCTAAGACAAAATTTGTCGACTGACACCTGCGAAGAGAATGGAGTGCGAGCTGGATGACTTTTGGGCATCTACCGAAATTACTTGAGGGGAACACTCTGTGTGAACCTCAGGTAACCGGGTAGGTCGTTTCTTCTTTGGCGGTCGACGTCGATTTTCGGAAGAACTTGTGTCTGGCTTCCCACATTCTTTTGTAGCCACCGAAACAATCGACAATGTCATCTGGTCTCTTCACCTGCTCCGGTTGCGGAAAGGAGTTGCGACGTTGGGGGACGCACAGGCCCATCTGCCCAAGAAGTCTGAGTGGGGACCCCAAGCTTGTGCCTGTCAACCCTTCATCGGCTCCTGGCGCTCCTACTTCTCATACCACTGGCTCTGTCTCTCAACCCTCCGGTCCGCAAGCACGCACATCAATCTCCGCTGCTGTATCGTCCTGGACTAAGCGAAGAATTATGCGGAGAATACCGAAAGCAGCCAGGCCTTCAGTCGCTATACTACTAACAAAGCTGATGCGACGTGCAGCGACGGAAAACTCTTCGTCTTCATGGCTCCTT